ACATTATTTAAGAAACAAACCTTTTTTTTTAATTTTGGTTTGAATGAATCAGTTAATGTATTTAACATTTTAAAATGTAAATTCTATTAAATATGACCATTAATATAAACTATTATTTTCCTTAACATTTGTAATCTTTTAATTTAATTTGATTTTACATAGAAGAACATTATCTTCCTTCGTTAATACTGTATAAAGAGTTGGAATTAATTAGCCATTAAAAATAATTAAATCTTTTAAAATTATAATGATCAATATAATTTCAAATATTTCTTACTTGAATCCTAGCGACCTGACGTTTCTTTTATGAAAATATGTTTCATTTCATACGCACAAATGAAAACCTTTACGAGAATGGAAAAACAATAACATTTATGAGATCAATTAATCCACAAGCCATTCATTCAATTATCAGAACTTGACTACCTGCTGATAAAGAAAATGTTGAAATTTGCCTTATCAGCATAAAAAGTGCATGAGAAAGATTAACAAATTTCATGCGCTGTCATTGTGAAGCGTAATTCATATGTAATTTTTCCAGAAAATAAAAACACTCTTTCTAAGACTGTTTTTAAATAAATAGGCAAATGAGCTTACGTATTTTATCTCGTATACATAATTTGCTCATTTCAGTCTTTATGAGAAATATTTTTATCTCTCTCAGTTTAACATTTTTTAAAGTGTCATTTTCTTCTATATGTACTTTATAAAAATCTTTTGAAAATAACGCATTATTTGTCCATTAGATTTCCTTTATGACAAAGTGCCCTGATAAGTTTCTACCGATAAGAAATTTAAATGCCATGGATAGCATTACCTCTAGCTTCCGGTTTTGTTTTTGTATGAAAACAAAACTCATCCAGTTTTATCAAAAATAGGTGGCAGATCGCAATATTACTACAGCACAAGAGCTTCGCATATGTTTACAAGTGACCAAACAACCTCGCGAAATCTTAGAAATTTTATGTGAAATTAGTGTCTAAAAAAATGAATTGCAATATTTTTATAGAAGTTCATCAAATGTATTCTGCAAGGCTTGGTTTAATCTTCTGGGAAGATCTGCTGTTACTTGTGAATCAGTAAGACATCAAATGTTACAGAATCCATGGAGAGAAACGAAGTACCGTCATAAATTTAGTTGAGCAACCAAAGAAGACAAAGAAAAGATCTGTTGATCTGTTAATAAAGAGTTTTTAAATTTCAATATTGTTTATTTTTATGAGCACTAGTGACAAAAACTGATAGGTTTCTCTTTCAGAAAAGCAAAAACGGAATGATGCTGTCGCTATTTGTTCTGCAGTTATTTAAATTTATAAGTATTCTACGTATTATTATCTAAGTATTAAATTTAAGAAACATTTTAAAGAAACGAAGTAGTCTACGAAACTATGTTTCTATAAAATGCTTATTTGTATAAATATTGTTACGAATTTTGTATATATGTAAATAATTTTAGTGAACTTATATGTAAATTATGTATCCTTTGTATAATATAACATTAAAGAAGGATGCGAAGCATCGCAAAGAAAAATAGGATTACAGGAGTAAATCCATTTAACATTGAGGTAAATGGCAATCTCGCCAACGAATTTTTGTCGCCAAATTTGACGTTAAACCGCCAAAGGTAGCCTTATTTAGCGAACATTTGGCGATAATTTTGTGCAATTTTTGTGTAACTACGACTGGTCCGCGCCTTAAGTAACTGTAACGTAACTGTGTATTCCTTCCAGCAATTCCAATCACATCTATTTACCAAACACACTCACTATACACATCTGGGAGACACTTTTTATAGTAAATGAACACAACCTTCTCCCCTTTTGAATACACGCATGGATTCAATCATATTTTTAGGAAATTTTCTATTTCTTTCCTTCTTCTTTCTAAAGGTTCTTTTTTTTTTTCCTACATTATTTTGGGCCATTTATTTTAATTTTATTTTGTCCCATTTTTTCTTCCTGGACTTTTGAACTCGTATAAAGCGTACGAAGTTCCTTTTTCTCTCCTCTGAAATACGAACCGTTTTCTATATACCTTTCCTTCGCACCTAAGCTTGATTTTTCGCCCATCGGAGCAGAAAGACTTAGCGGGTGCAAAACAACACAATCTGTCTATTTTGTTTGTCTGTCTGTCTGTTCGAAATCGACAATATTGGGAATTTGCCGGCTGACGAGGGAAAACTATGTACGACTGGAGAGAACATCAGTTTTTCGTTTACTCAATGTAACGAGTGATCACAGGCGAGGTTACGCATATGAAAGCTCTTTGCATTGCTTTGTGCTCAAAGTTTTTAGTAGTCTGAAGTAGTAACCACTAAGTAGTAGTATTGTACTCTGACACACTGAGAAGAACTGTATCTGTACCTTTGTGTGAAAAATTGCAGAACTGTAAATTTTTAGCCCAAAGGGGCAATTTGCCCAGACGCTCTATTAATTTCGTTTTGGCATTTTGTGTTGATTCACTATAAACGGCGAATCACTTTTTAAATTATTGCCACCAAATATTAGAGCCCTGTATTATATTTAAAGAAATAAAATAATGAAGAATCTGAATAAATGTATGTATGTTTCTCGCATTGTGATAAAACAACGAGCCATCAAATTTATGGGCATCTGGAAGCCCAAATTTGGTTAGGTTAGGTTATTTAAATACGGCAAAGCCTCGAGGCCCAAATTTGGAATTTGGAATTTCTTTTATTATATACGTCATATTTCGTAAAGCATTTATGAGTTTTTGATTAACAAACTCAACGATTTTAAAGCAAGCAATGGCAACTCTGTCCGAAAAAAAAGAAAAAAAAAAAATTATCTTCAGCGCGCGAGACTGTGTTTCGGCAACTCAAAAGATATTCTCTTTTAAATATTTTGCGATATTGCTGTTGAATTGAATTTTATGATTTAAGTGCAAAAAACTTGATATTTAATAAATAAAGGTAACACACAAACGTTAAAAAAAAACTCTCCTTTAGTATTTTTTAATTTAAATTTTTCATCTTATTTTATTTGAAAAATAAATTTCATTACACTTTCATCGGTTCTGTATGCATTCAATCCATTATTAACCCGTACGCTTGTAACAATATGAATTTCATATTTGTGGTGTGTGCTATGCAAATATGTGAGAGTTTATTGGATGCAATACAAAAACGACTGTATCTGTCATTTTGAATTTACAGATGTAAAAGACTACTTTATCTTTGCAATGCCAGTCACATTATAGTGTAAAGCAGGGCTGTCAAATTGATGGCCTGCAGTACGTATGTGGCCCTCGAATACGTTTCAATTACGTATTTGTAGCAAATACAGTGTTACAAATTTTAAGATTTTAGTTATTTGAAGTTTTACTGTGTGTGTGTGATATTATGGTAAAGTTTCGAAGGCTGTCTGCCTAAGGGGAGGGATGCCTTCATGGAGGACTTTCTAAGGGAAACTGGCTCGTATATGCGTAACACATGGGGAAATCCACGAAAACGCCCATGCAGCCAACCCGTTCGAGGGATTCGAACCTCGGGCCGAACTACCGATGTTCAGCGACTTTACCGCTCGGCCGCTAGTGGGCCCTTTGAAGTTTGACAAAAAGTAAATAAGCTCACTTACGAAGTTTTGCACTACGAATAATCTCTTTGTTTGGGAATACATTTATATGCGAATACCTTGCACCTATAATCCCTAATGAAGATAGTTTCCAGTAATTTCTCACCGGCCCACCAGCGGCCGAGCGGTAAAGACGCTGAACACTGGTAGTTCGGTCTGTTTTTATTTATTAGAACTATTTTTATGTTTGTATGTGGGTATCGGATATAAAATAAACAAGTTATAACCTCTATAGCAAGTAAATTAAGCTTAATAAATTGACTGCATATGCACCATCATTTCCGTTATTTTAAATATTTTGTTGTTCTACGGATTTGATTTATTAAATTTGAGATACTTTTTCCAATAAAGCCACCATCCTCAGTGGAAAAGCATTTTCATGCGGAACTTGTAAATGTAATAAAAAACACATTCGTGATTTTTAAGCGTTTAAATAAAAATTTAAGCATATAATTCCCTTGTTTCTTTGTCTTGGCATATGAAAAGTTTTAAAGCACTCAGAACATCTTATAAATATCAACGACTGAAAAGCATTACATGCAATGGCCAGCCTTATTGCTCTTCTAAAGGCCTGATTCCAAGCGTTATAGAAGAAAAAATATTATTATTATATCTAATGAATCTTACAAGATATTAATATAGTTGTTACGTGTTTGACCAAAACGTAAGGAATTACATTTATAAGAGTACGGAATTACGTTACGTATCATTATGCAAAATTATTTCCGTAAGATTAAATGAAGCATCAGTCAGTTTTTTTTTCTTTCATTCAAATTACATAAATAAAATATGCACAGTAGAAAGCTGATGAATATGTAAATTCTGATTCTTGCATTTACGCATCACGTAAATAGGAATCATTTTATTAGTTTATCGAGAGGGATTTTAAGAGAAAGTGCCTTGTAGTTATGTTACACATAAAATTTAAAAAGAATTAAAAAAAAAAAAAAACCCACGAAAACGACTATGTAACTAATCTATACCTTGGGATTCAAACTCAGATCTAACAAGAACTATTCAACAGTCGTATACGATCATCTGCTGGTAGGCAAAAGCGGCGGGAAAGGAAATAAATACTAAAGACACCTTGCGTTTGCTAACATTTTGAAGATGAAAGAATAATAATTAATAATTTCTTCTAATCTTTAGTATAATTTAAAATTTTTGGACATTCGATGGCGGTCAAAATGGATATTTTCGTTGAAATATGATACATAAAATTTTTCGCGATTACAATACTTCCCTTTTTACTTCGTACAAGGAAAAAAACTGGATTTATATTTATTCCTTCATAATTTTAGTAAAATTATTAGTATTTTATTCTTTACCAATATGATTATGTGCCTATATGGCGTGATTACTTCCAACTGAAAATTTTACACTTCGAACATATATCAAATAAGATTCTTGACCTGTTTTACAAATTTATTCTTATTTGTTCAACAGAAATTAGAAAAAATGAAAATAATTAAATTTTACTACATTGATTAATAAACATCTGACTTAAATACAAAAAATAAAAGCGCTGGTTGGATTACTTAGAATTCCAATACAAATATTAAGGCTATTATTAGCCTAAGTGAAATTAATTGCACACGAGCATCTATCCGAAACGTCATGCATGGTACATTCTTTTAAAAATATTTGATGCATTAAATGTTCTTTATTGATTTCTTAATATGACAAATATATTGAAGCTTTTCATAACAGCTATAAAGTCTGATCAACTGATCTATACACAAATATTTCAGAATCGAAATAAATTCATGTATCATTGCTGTTTAAGATGTGAATGGTGATGAATACCGTTATAGGGTAGCTTCAAAAGCTTGATCTTGGATGACTACGTGACTTATACGTGCATAAAGTCATAGTTTCTGAAATTAACATTTAACTCTAGCTTTAAGGTCCTTTGATTCTCGTAAGCCCAGAACTTCATAATATTCTTTTTAAAGTATTTCTAATAATTCATTCTGTTAATACACAGCCAAATACGAATGTTGCTCATTTGTCTTTTCAGTTGCATGTTTACGTTACATTCCTAGTACATCTCTCTTCCATTTCCTTCATTCTTGTGGCTTCGTTTTCTTCGTACTGAGTAAAAGACATTGTTGGCAGACCCATCATCCAGCTGCAAAGAATAAACAATATTCAGCCATAAATTTAATTAGGATGAAACAGGAAGACAAATGAGAGTTATTAAGCTCTTCGTGGGTTTCCCGCACAAAATGAAGTTGCTTATTAGTGATAGGTAGACAGTGGAGTAACAAAATTCCAAAGTATTTTCGAAAGATTGCTCAACTAAATATCTCTTGAACAATTGATCGATTTGTAAGCTCTATTTTAAAAAATGAATTAAAAATATAAGTTGATATCATATATCATAATTATGGTTATGTGGTAACGTTTAATAAAACTATACTGAATTTTTTTTTCATGAGCCCTTTATGAAAAAGTTCCGATCAGTAAGGTGTTTTTTATATAGGTACAGATCTTTTAGAAAAGTGCGGTCTTCAATATGCAGATTTCTTCAGAAAAATTTGCCAAATTACATGGTTCAAAATCCTATACGATAGCAGAAAGTTTTGAAGAGAATCATTTATTAAAGGAGGATACACAAATTGAATCTCGTTAAGCACAAATTTTTAATTTAATTTTTTTTCTGATAGTAATAATTTGAGATAGATAATTTTCAATCAATTCTTTTCTGGAATAAAACGCTTTTTTTTAAATTCGTATCATGTGTACTTGTCTTTAATATTATTTTTATACTGTAGATCAAAACTTAAATTGTCTTATTTAGTAATTTTGAGAAGAAAGTGTTTTCCCCCTCTAAATCCTTATATTGTCATTTCATGCGTCCATGTTCTTATAAAAATTTAAATTGCCAAAAATTAACCAAAATTTAGCAAATGATCAATATTGTCGTAGCCGAAAAGCCTACACTATTTGATTCATTTTTTTAAACCTGAACATAACGTCAACGACTAACCTTACAAGAGTTAATTAATTGTGAATTTTTTATTAAATGATGTGAATTTTATTTATATTTAGATTCGCCGCAGCAAAACACGTGAATATCTGCCTTGTGTGGTGTAAGGACCCTTTTCATGGATGATTGCATGGGGTAAACAGAGACTAATTATATCTACTATGCAAATTACATGTAAATTCTCCCAATAACCGACCAGCGATGGAATTTTGAAAGACATTATTATAATCTAACTTTTGCTGTTTTAATACATTCTGCTGCTTATGAATTTTAACACTGGCTCTTTGGGAGAATAAAATGAGATTGAGCAGAATATATGTCAGGAATAATTGCATAATTTAACTCAGCAGTTATATTAGATGTGTTAAAAAAAAAAAAAAAAAAAAAAAAAAAAAAAAAAAAAAGGGGAGAATTAGTTTCATACATTGATGCTTGATAATTTCTGGACCATTTCTATTCACGAATTCTAACACATTTATTAACATTTGACATTATTTACAAATTAATTAATCTAAGCCAGGAAAATGTATTTCTTCGCGAAAATGAATTAAAAAAGCAGCAAGTCTCTTCAAAAACTGATGTATTTAAAATTATTTAAAACGCAGAATCAAAATACGAAAAATATATTTCTTTATTTAACAGATACATGTTAATGGAAGTAAATTTCTATTTATTCGAAGAAAATAAGAATTTTATTTTCCTTAAGGCCTGAAAAATGTGTTATTTTACTAGATTTATCCTGGAAGTGATTACAATTTTAACTAAATAAAAGCAAGAGGAGTTTTGATGAAAGATTTATGAGATAATGTTAATAATATCAAAGTGCAGAAAATTAATTTCAGCAGATTTTCACTTAAGTAAAGACGTAAAATTTGCCTAGTTTGAACGAAATACTAGGGTCAGTCATGAGTGCTAACGGCGAGAACGCAAGAGGTTTAGTTTATTTTCTTAAAACGCTCTTAATTTTCAATATATTTCTCTTTTAGATTAATCTGGAGTTTCTGTAATCTCTACGATTGTGTTCACTGGTTTAACTATGCAATTGGTACATCAGATTTGTAACAAAATGAAGGACACTTCGTCAATAGTTTCCAAACTTTAACTTTGTACATATTCCTAGCACCCACTCCTGGTAACCTGGGCATTTTCCCCAGGTCACCAGGTCCCAAATCAGAACACAGTCTTATCCAACATTGAAATACCCATTATATTGAATCAGAAATAATAATACTAGGAGTGTTAAATGAGTACAAATTTTGAAAAATTATATCATTCAATAAAAGTCATAATTGTTGGTAGCGGTAAAACTGTTGTTCACAGCGCAACCTATCAAATCTTTCAATCAAAGCAGGAACAGCTCTGCCTTCACTTTCTTTCCAAGATTTTCTCATGCTTGTATTTTTTTTTAGTCCAAAAGCGACTATTACTCTCAAAATGGTATTTTGTTCTCGTTCATTATAAACGGCGTGCCATTTTTCAAATTGTTGCCACCAAATTATATCGCCCTTAATTATTTTTAAGGAAATTAAATAACCTTAAATAATATTTAAGATTCTGTTGAATTTTAAGAATATTTAAGAAAATGTTTATACATTTTGAATAACGTAGTCCTATACCCAAACATGTTCCCCCAAAAGCCCGAGTTTTGAATTTCGAATTTGTTTTATTATTTATTTCATATTTCTTAAAACTTCAGTGAATTTTTCATTAACAAACTCAACGATTTGAAAACGAGTATTGGGAACACTGTTCGAAATAAAACATTTTTCTCCAGCGCGCGAAACTGCTGTCATTCGAAAAAATGTGAGATATTTATCTTTCAGTTTTAATTAACAAAATCGAATGAAAACAATGTATTGCCGCGGCCGTAAATAAAATACTTATATCTTCCATCCGCTAGCACGTTGCCATTCGGTAAAGCCTAAGATACTTTAAAATGTAATTTGGAATGCTATTGAGTAAAACACAGTTCTTAAAAATATTCTTTTACTTAAATGTGATTGATTTAAATAAACATGAATTAAAATCATGAGATATCTAATTAGAAAAATTCAATATTTTTATGAAATTAAGCTAGCTGGACTCATCATTATCTGATTTTTCATTTTTATGATACCTATTTCATGCTGCTAGTTCTCACAGAAATAATATAGCGAATATAAAAATATGTATCGCAAACTTTATCGGGAATTCCAAATATATGCTGTTTTTAAATATTTTGTGATTTTACCATTGAATGTTATATGGCGTAAATAAGAGGAACGTGATATTTAATAAACAGGGTTACTACATGAAAAGTCACTAATAAAAGACAAAAAAAATTTTAACCATCTTACTCAGAAAACTGAATATTTATATGATTAACTGAGAAAAGACTGAAAAAATATAAGAATGTATACCAACACTTAACACAGCATCGGGAATCCTAAGCATAATGTTGCCATGTAGCTTCTAAAGATTTTGTAATTTTTTTGCTGAGCTGTATGTGACGTAAGTGCGAAGAAAATTACGATTAATAAGGAAGCTAAAAAGACAAAAATAAAAGAAGCAAGTTAACAGGAGTGAGTGCAAGAGCAGACTGTAAGCTGCAAACTCGTAGAGGGTAAAAAATTTAACAAAGCCTTTCGGGCGACCGTCAAAGTCTGAAACCTTTCAGATTTTTTCCAATTATTTTTTTTTACTTTTAATTAATTTCTTAAGTTCATCGATTGCTTAAAATTAATTCTTTTGCATTCATTTCTTTGCAAACAGAATTCACAATTGCTGAGCTTAACTACTTTGCAGCGGATATTCATATTTTACAGGTGCCCAGAAATCCGTTTTTTCCAATGCAGCAGTATTTATTTAAGTAAAGCGAAATACATAATGGTTTATAGAGTTTATTTAAAATTAAATATGATTAAAATTTAAGGATGCTGTGGCTTTGCAATGCACCGGTGTTAACAGTTATATAAAAGCATAAGATTATTCGGAAATCAATGAATAACAGTCAATCACGTTTTGAAGTAACAAGGTAAGAATATCTCATCGCAATTACCTTTTGGATTAGTTTGAAGAAACAAACAAAATGCACATTAGTTTTATTGCATTAAATATAATAAAATATTTGTTTTAAATTTTTTTAATATCCGGTTTAAAGATCTCCTTATTTAAAAAATATTTGTGTTTTTAAACTATTGTATTATTTGATTTCAAGATAAATCTTCTGCTTTGCTAAATTAAAAAATTAACTTTACGTAAAAAACGTTGCCTGAAAGAAAACGCTTGTTTAGTTCAATTTTAAATAATATGTGTTTATGTGTGTCTTGTTTTTAACTTTTCATCAGCAGCGTAACGTCTCTCATGTTTAGCTAACCAGTTATTATGATATTAATCTTTACTCTAAATTCTTCCCCGTATTCCTCAACAGGATGCTAATTGACTGTATTTTAAACTAAGGGTTTTGAATCTTAGAAGGGGAGAACTTCAGGTAATCTAGTCTGCTGTTAGGTTTTTGCCAGCAGTACGTACTTAAATATGATATTTCAAACTTGGCATTCTCGCCAGCCCGATGGTTTAAACTTACGTGCCGGTAAAACAATTAAACCAGATTATTTTTTATTGTGTTGAATATGTAGCCTTCGACTCCATTACACGTGCTCGAATTTAATTGACTGTCATTGCTACATTTACACAGCCACGAGTAATGGCTCGTCTGTAGGTCAAGTTTTGCCCTAGTGTTAAATTTTCGACTAAAAGGTTATTTCAAACCTTCTTTAGTACTTTGTTTTTAAGACGTAGGGATAGCTCACCATCTTGCCTAGTAGAGTTTGCAGGACTTAACTTTCATTCCTTGACACAATCTCAAGCAACATAAAAAATCTCATATATTTTAATTACTTTATTCATATTCTTATTTATGTAGATAGATAGTATATAGATAAATAGATAGAGAGATAGACTAACTGTAAAACATATGCCGGAAATAGTGTAGAAGAATCAATCTCTTTAATACACACACTAGTAAAGCATTATGCCATGAAAATGAATTTATTTATGAAACGATGATGGCATCTGGTTCTTAATATTTTCACAAAGTAATTGTATACAAACCTGATTTTAAACAGAAAAGCTCTTTGGGAAATATAATCAATCAATAATGAGAAACAAGTAAATCATGTCTAAAAAAACTTATATGTAATTCTGTAATCATGTAATAAAAACCGATAGTAAAAATAATAATACACACAACAGATCGGGAATGATATTAGAGAACAAATAAACATAAACATGGTGGAATAAAAGCAAATTAGACTTTCTCCCTTCTTTCCGCATGCCCTCTTGGTGTAATTGGAAGCTTATTCGATGAGTATTCCAGAGGTCTAAGGTTCGAGCCCTGGCGAGGGCATTGCACATATTTCACGCCTCCATCATTAAAAATCCTAATGACTCTACAAGTGGCGTCCGAACTAAAACGTGGTGGACAACAATTCGTCACTGCCAGGATTTGGCAATTGGGTTCCCTCATCCCCAGTCGCCCTTTAAAAGGGAGTGTATATAAGGTATTTTCTTCCTCCTTTCCGCATGCCTTTGTGGTGTAATTGGAAGCATACTCAACGTGTATTCGAGAGGTCCAGGGTTCGAGTTCAGGAGAGGGCACTGCACATTTTCCCCGTCTCCTGCTTCAAATAACCTAATGACTCTACAAGGTTAGTTATACATATATATATTAATTTGGAATATTTGAAAATTAACTTTCAGATACCAAGATATGTACCAATAAGAATAAATAGAATATATATACTTACATAAAAATTAGAGCAGAAGGTATGAGGAACACGGCTGCAATCGCGTATGGTAAACCTGGGTAGAAAGAAGCCGACCAGTTGTAGAGTTGCAACATGCAGGTAGTTCCAAGGACAGGAGTTAATGCCTCACATGTGGCCAAAAGCGAAAATACACGTCCTGCGAGAAAACAAATATAAGTTATTTCCTAAGCTAATGTCTTTCATAGATCGGAAGTAGATTTACAAACTTTTTCTAGTAACCGCGAAATTAAGTACTTATGTGGTAATGAGAAATATTTAGAAACTCGCAAAAAAGAGCTAATGGTTGCAAAATTTGGCACTATAACTCAAATGAATCGCATTGCAACCATGAACCTTATAGATAGACTAACCCAATGGGCAGGGCGCGCGTCACCGACATGTTTGCAAGAAAGAGTAGGGACGATCTGGTTTACTTTAATACTGAAACCTATGGCGTTTGTATCACATAACTGTTTTTAATTATTTAATGTGATACGTTGTATAGTGATGAGATTATAAAAGCCACAGTTGTTTCCAAATAGGATTTAATATATCTCATTAAAGCACTTTTTACTGCATTTCGCGCATTGTTTTCAGGCGTAATTCTTGTACAAACATCTTTACTTTGGTAAAACGGTAAAAATTCTAAGCACAAAATTTATGAACTTAATTTTGCATAAAAATAAAGTAAAAATTAAATAAGATTGATAGTACGTGATGCTTTATAAGATAAAATTAAACAAGATCTGATAATTTTTTTAAAAAATTTAATGAACATTTTCAGGCAGTGATTTTCAAAACTATAACAACATTACAAAACGATGACTTATTTGATTATATCATCATTAAATTACTAACATTAAAGTGAATTATTTATTTTAGTAATTTATAAAATTCGGAGCATAAAATTTTCTGAGTGTAATGAAGGAAAAAAAATAAAATAAAATCTAGAAGCACTCAGATTTTATATTAAACCCAAAAGGAACCTTTTTTTTAACGTTTTGTGTGTTACCTATATTTATTGAATATCATGTTCTACGCCCGTAAACCACATACATTTGAAAACAGCATACCTTTAGAATTTCTGCACTGAAAAAAAAAAATGTTATTTTCCGTACAGTGTTACCATTGCTCGCTTTGAATTCGTTGAGTTTGGTAATCAAAAGTTCGTTAATGTTTTACAAAATATGAAATAGATTAAAACAAATTCGAAATTCGGGTCCAGATGTCCATGTTCGGGTGGAGGATTACATTATTCAAAATTTGATGGTACCGTCGTTTTTGTCACAGTGCCAGAAACATACATGTATTCATGCAGATTCTTCATTATTTAATTTCTTTAAATATAATACAGGGCGATAATATTTGGTAACAACAATTTGTAAGGAGACACGGACATTTATAGTGAAACAGCGCAAAATGCCGCTTTGAGCTAATAAATTTTATGCAGAACTAAAAATAAACTTAAAAAATAATAACTAAAAAGCACTTGATTTTTTCTCAAGTTAAGTCCGGCTGTAGTGGAATCTGGAACAGGTTTATGAGATCTACCAAACAATGAAGGTGATGTTGTTAATTTGTTACAAGTGCATATTATATTGCCGAGTAAACTGTCAATGTTTCAATCTGAATGAAATGAAGTTTTATTCGACTCAGTCGAAGAGTACATAGCTAAATCCAAAAGATATGGAATCGGTTGGAATGCGAGTTGGCAACTGGCTTGCAGGAAATAGAGTGTTATTTATTGCTGACACCATATTCATCTATTGCTAAAATTTTGTGATGGAATTCAACATGGCTGATTCTACCGTTATAGATTGGAATACATATTTCCGAGAAATGTGCGTCTACATGATGCAGAGTTGTGAAAATTAGAAAATAAAAAACAGGTGGGGAGCCTTAATAGTAGAAATTGATGAAAGCCTGTTCTTCCGCCTCAATGTGTTTTCGGTGGTATTTATCATCAAATAAAAAAAATCTTTCTTATTAAAGTGTGCGACCAAAAAGCCACGCGTCTGTTAAATATAATCAAAGAAAATATTTAAAAAAAGGAACGACCAATTCATTCCAATTTATTTCGAATCCTAGGCTATCCACCTCAAGTATTATACGACCGAGTCCTATTATGTATGTTTACTCCTAGTGGCTGCTTGGGGAGGTGAGCTGGCAGAGTTATGCACCAGGCGCTAGGTGAGAGATGCCTGTGTAGGCCCCCTTTATTAACATCCAAGGTTGCTTTAGATAAGTGTGGACGTGGCGCTATACCAATTAACCACCATGGTAGAAAGATGGTGCCCACGTCCTCCATCTCTCACTCACTCCTGGGCTCTCTATAAAACAGAAGAATTCCAAAAAATTGGCTTCGATATATTCAAAGTGAACCACAAATTCAATTTTGTTGATCCACATTCCGAGTTCATATGCAAAATATCGAATGGGTATGGTGTTCTTCAAAATGGCGGAGGGAAAAATATAGGGTTACAACAAAACATGACTGGAAATTGTATTTAGAAATCACTGGATATCGTATTTTCCGCCGCCATATTTCGAGTTCATATGGCAGCAGAAAATTGTGGCTCAGAATAAAAAAAACCCTTCAAAGTCATTTCAGAAGCGATTGCCAAACATTTTTCACCCGAAACAAAGACAAACTAATTGTATCACGTTACCGCCAATGTTAGACACATAAGTACAAAAAAAAAAAAAAAAAAAAGTGATGGAAAATATTCAATCCAAAATTAACTGTTTAATTTTCTACAGATCTCCTTTCCGATGTCGTGCATCTATTGTTATGCTACTTAAAATTCTACATGTCATCGTAAAACTCTATTGCCAAATTGCACTGTCATTCCTTTTTGACATTCCCCAGACTTTTCTAAAATCCTTCAAAATGATATTTAGGGTACTAATGTAGCTAACAAGTGCTAAATAGGACGAATAAAATGGTGCTTAAGTTAGAATTTCATATAAGTTTTGATGTAAATATAAATTATAATTTATTCTAGAAATGTATACAAAAAAGAAAGGAAGTATTCGAAAATGTATACAAAAAAGAAAGGAAACAAAAATTTTGATACGTTACCCAATTCCATTCGATTGACTAATTTCGATATTCTTGACCGAACAGCGATATTTCCACAAGCAATCAGCATGCCACCAAACCATGCTGTAGAAGAAATAAATAATTTTTTTTAAAATTCTAATTCTTCGGAAAACTAAAGAAAGAAAACTTTACAAATCATCTGGTTGCTGTCTGAAGTAATATTTATTACTGTATTATAAAAGCAGCAGGGACAGTCATACCATTCGTGAGATCGCTACCTCCTTTATATTTATCACATTATTCTGTAAAATACATAACTGTATGCTTTCTTAAATAATTCAGAAATCCTTTTTAACGCCTAAGCGCTATAAACATAATAACAAATATTGCATTAATTAGTTAATAAACGATACATTACAGGTGAAAGCCGGCACCTGTGCATTTTCGTAGGGATATTAGGTACCGTTGGGTCTTCCTAACTGTTAAGTTTCCACCTACGTTTGAGGTAGAACACCCCGTGGGCTGAGCAAGTGTCTCTAACGGGGGCTCTCGAGTGTTTGTGCATTTTCAGTTCCCCTTGCCACACAGACACTGGACGATTATAAACAGCCATGCCATCTCCTGGCGTCGAATAAAAGTTAGCGTCACTAACCACTAAACCGTCTAAGCGGCAAAGGCACACTGCAAGGACAGATAGAAGCTAGGCCAATGCCTCTATAGTATTACAGATGACTGAGGTAATGCTGAACATAGATAACTGTTAACACAATGACTGTCACAGCAAAATCGGGTAAAATACTCTGTAGTACTAATTTTCAATTCTAGTGTTTGTTTTTTCTTTTTTTTTAGGGGGGGGTCCCATTTATCCTAAATTTTTTCAGTTCCTTGTTTTACTTCCACATAAATAATTACTTAAACGTTACTGCAGCAAAATATATTATTATGAATCTCTTATTTATTGAAATTATTATTGTAGTACTGCATTGTTTTTTCTTAATTTAAGTATGGCTTCCTGTCCAAGGATTGTACTGCTCGGGACGTGCAGTCTCTGGGAACTGGGCGATATTACGAATATTGGATATACGTAATTAATTTGACTCAAATTCTAAGCAAAACTGCCATTTTTTTTTTTTTTTTTTTTTTTTTTTTTTTTTAGTCCAAAGGGATTTGAATCCCGAAGTACTATTAGTTTCGTTTTGGCATTTTGCGTCGGACTCATAAATGTCGGTTCACTTTTCAAACTGTTGCCACAAAATGTTAGAGTCCTGCATTATATTTGAAGAAATTAAATAATGAAAAATCTGCATAAATGTATGTATATTTCTCGTATTGTGATAAAACAACGGTACATAGAGTCATCGAATTTTGAATAACGTAATCCTCCAACGAATATGAGCATGTGGAAGACCAAATTTGAAATTTGAAATTTGTTTTATGATCGATTTCCTATTTTTTAAAACTTTGACGAATTTTTGATTAACAAACTCAAGGATTTCAAAGCGAGCAATGGCAACGTTGTGCAGAAAAAACATTTTTATCTCCAGCGCGAGAGTCTTTGTATCGGAAATTCAAAAGATATGCTCGTTTTAAAACTATTTTGCGATATTGCTGTTGCACTGGATCTTATGGTTTAAGTGCGAGGAACATGATATTTAATAAAGAAAGGTAACACACAAAATGTTAAAAAACGCCCCTTTGGACGTAATTTAAAATCTGAAACATTTCAGATTTTTAGTCCAAAGGGATTTGAATCCCGAAGGACTATTAGTTTCGTTTTGGCATTTTGCGTCGGACTTATAAATGTCGGTTCACTTTTCAAACTGTTGCCACAAAATGTTAGAGTCCTGCATTGTATTTGAAAAAATTAAATAATGAAAAATCTGCATAAATGTATGTATATTTCTCGTATTGTGATAAAACAACGGTACATAGAGTCATCGAATTTTGAATAACGTAATCCTCCAACGAATATGAGCATGTGGAAGACCAAATTTGAAATTTGAAATTTGTTTTATGATCGATTTCCTATTTTTTAAAACTTTGACGAATTTTTGATTAACAAACTCAAGGATTTCAAAGCGAGCAATGGCAACGTTGTGCAGAAAAAAACATTTTTATCTCCAGCGCGTGAGTCTCTGTATCGGAAATTCTAAAGATATGCTCGTTTTAAAACTATTTTGCGATATTGCTGTTGCACTGGATCTTATGGTTTAAGTGCGAGGAACATGATATTTAATAAAGAAAGGTAACACACAAAATGTTAAAAAACGCCCCTTTGGACGTAATTTAAAATCTGAAACATTTCGGATTTTTTTTTTTTTTTTTTTTTTGTATAATGCAACTTGAAATGCCTCAAGAGATAAAGCTTTGCCGGAAAAATAAGATTATAAGGGCAAGTTTATTTAACATTGAGATAAATGGCTAACTCGCTAAATTGGGGAGATATCGCCAAAGTGGCATTGGTTTTGGCAATTAATTTTGTCACCAAATTTGTCAAGAAATCTCCAAACGTCACCGAACCTGGCGACCATTTGACGACATTTGGGACTGGTTCCCATATAACTATAACTAAATACATGTAACCGTATCTGACCCTTATATACAAGTTTAACTATACATGTCTTCCAGCAGTTTCGAGAAATGGAAAGTGCTAGAGATTTCTCAGCGGCCGGGAGAAGGAACTTTATAAGATCGGAGAGAGCATCAGTTCTCAGTTTTTGGTTCAGAGTTAGATGTCCGTGCGAGCTTCGCTCTTTACACTCGCTTTGCATTGCATTTTTTTTTAAAGTTCTTAGTTGTTTAAAGTGGTAACTACTGATTGTGTTCTGTCATACTGAGAAGAGCTGTACGAGTACTTTCGGGGAAAGTTCTAGAATTGTAAAGTGTTTCTTTTGTGAAAATAAATTTTATCGAGCTCTCATTGGTTCTGTGTGCATTCAATCCATTACGAACCAGTACGTACGCAACAATATATGAAAATTATGTAACAATTTATGGAAAAAACCTTCCAGAAACCAAGAATACGGAGCAGCTTTTTGAGGCCATAGAAATAATTTTAACCACATAAATATGAGTGTTTCTGAAGCACCGATGACTCGCACGTTTTCAAATCATACAAAGCCTGTGAATCATATTCGAAGCACATGGCTCCAAAAATGAAGGCAACTGTGATGCATATGGAAGTCAACATGTAAAGCTTCCTCTCAATTTTGAGGAAGAACACCCCGAGGAACATCACAAATAGGCTTTTTCATTTTTAATGCTATTTTCTCAAGTCATTGAAACTAAATTTTACTTTTGCGCATAAGCCGTGAGCAAAACGTGTAATTACAGAAAATGAAAGCTGAATTTTATTTCCACTAATAGAATGGTACTTTCACATATTCTTAATCTGAAAGATCTGTGGGACTGTCCTTTACAACAAAATTATATTTACAAGGAATTTTACAAGCTCATCACGAATGAAGTTCTTCTAATATTCCGATTTTTGATTCCTTCTAATATTGCGATTCTTATAATATACTGATATCCTCTCGTGTAAAAACTGAGAAGTCCGACCTTAGTAAAAATGTTTAATTTTAACTAAGCAGAATTTATAGAGAATTTTCCAGTTAGCACCCCAAATATGTAGGTTTAGGAATTTAATTTTAATTTTCTTGTAGCTGCAAATCAAATGTTTGTAAATATTTGCCTCAGCGTGTATAAAACTACTTAAAAAAATAAAACATTACATATGAGCTCACCATAATAAACGAGCCATTCGCTTACTGTTACAGACATAAGCGTCATTGTAAACATCAGAGACAGGATTCCTATTAGGCCAACGGCTGCTTCATGTACTAATAATTTCTGGTTTAAATAAGGTACCACTCCTAACGTTGCTGCGGCTTTCAGAAGAATCATAATGGTGTTCATATTCGAATACTGCGTTACCGTCCATTTAAATACTTTCCTGGTGTAGGAAAAACCTATAGACAATGCACCTGAGGGGAAAAAGTGAATGTTAAGATATGTTATTAGAAAGAATAAAATAATGAAATTACTCATTATGAATAGTAATTACAAAATTATTTTACTTTATTTGATTTAAAATTAACATCACCCGTATGTTCTTTATTTAAGAGCGTGAAAGCTTGCACACTAAATGTTTCGAGACAAAATTAAAAATAGCATTATTAAGATACAATAACATGCCGAATAAATATTAATTTAGAAATCAAACAACAAAAATCAGCGTTATATTTTCAAATTTTCACAGGACTAGTTTCGATGGTTTTACCGAAACATCATCCTTAGCTGCAAAAGCTCAAATGAACGAGATAAGATCTTAAGAACGAGATAAGATCTTGAATGTTTTGAATGCTTTAGATATAGAGCTTTCGGCAGCGACGTTCGCTATTATACGTACTCTAGCCCAGCTTTGAGAGATAGTTTTCTGGCATTAGCCATTTAACTAGCCGAAGTTCGCGCATCAGTGCGCATGCGCTGTTAAAGGTTTAAGTGAAGCTTAATTAGGCAAAACTGTGTAATGTGCAGCAACGAACTGCATTTTCAATGTTGTGTTATTTAACACGCACAGGTTTGATTTTACTCAGTAATTGTGCTATTGTTAATTTCATGTTCTAAACTTAAAAAAAGTTATTTTAAAACCTTCATAGGACTTTGAAGTACTTTTACATAGACGGAGTTATAATTCGTTTGGCAGCATAGTAGGGCCTAAAAACCTTTTGAAATTTGATTAGCGCAGGATAAGGCCCTATAATGTGAAATTAGGAACTCATACGGTTGTGTTTTCATTTCCTTCAATTTTCTTCGAAAAATCGGGTATTTTCTTTCATTCTAATGAATTGCGATCGTTGTACTGTTAATTACTAAGAAAATGTTTTAGGAAATTGTGAAATTATTTTTAAAAGTCACATAAAAGGATAAATGAAAATTTCTTATTCCCTTTAATAACTACAACCAGCAATTATTGCTTTTGCTACTAAAATTCGTATTTTACCAATAGAGAAATTACTGATATTTCACTTGCTGGAAATATTTGTTGGAAGACCTGCACGCAAAGGGTTCAGGGATGAAATATACAACGTTGTCTTAAATATCCAATTCTTTTCTTTATCAAATCGTACAAACGTCTTTGTGCAACATAATTTACAATGGAATTATATCACAGCAAAATTTTCCTACATTTCGCCACTTCTACTTCGCTTTACTACTCTCCCGTACTACTTCATTTTTTCCTGCTACTTTGCTTCTACTTACACCTAAAAAATATGTGATTTTATGTTCTGTATTTTGATTATCTAAGAATTCATTTTTATGTTATAAATATGTCATCAACATTGGTAATTTTACAGCAGAAGAAGGTACGTACATAAAGGGGTTCAATAAAGAGAGTAAAATGGTTTACTGATACCTATAAAATATTTCTATATAAGTAAGTACTAACTCAGAAAGCTTTGAAAATAACAAATTATATATATATATATTAATTATATTGGAACATAAGAAATAAATTTATTTTCTTGCAAGAAACAATATTCTTCAATAAATGGCCTTATTAGTTTATAGAGCTATTAGGTTATTTGAAAGCAAAAGACTTGAAAAATGAGCAACGCCTTCGCCGGGAATCGAACCGCGGACCTCTGGAATACGCCCCCAGCTTGCAGACCACTACACCACGAAGGCACGCTAAGAAGGCGGAAAAAAATACCTTAAATACTCCCCCTTTTAAAGGACGATTGGGGGATTAGGGGACCCAATCGTCAAATCCTGGTGGCGGAGAATCGTCATCCACCACCTTTTATAGTTCGGGCGCCATTTGTAGAGCTATTAGGTTATTTGGAAGCAAGAGACTTGAAAAATAAGCAACGCCTTTGCCGGGAATTGAACCGCGGACCTGTGGAATACGCGCCCAGCGTGCAGACCACTACACCACGAAGGTACGCTAAGAAGGCGGGAGAAATACCTTATAAATTTACATTTTAAACGCTTATTTTCTAAAATGTAGTGTACATCATCATCAGAAATAAATGTTACATAACTAGATTTGCAAGAAGATATGGCAGAAATTTTGTTGTAGCTAAAGACTTCTAAAACCTGAAAGGCATGTGCTGAAAACCTACAGTGCATAGAGCGATTCTTAGCAGTGCTTAAAAAATTATGAATTTAAGATGTGCAAGTACTCGAATTCTAATATTTTCAATAACTTGCACTCTGTCAAATCAACAAGTTTTTAAGCTATGTCTGAGTACTTTTCTTTAAAAGAGAGAAACAAATTTTAGAGAAGTTCAATATTATTAGATTACAAAGTCTCGCTTTCTTTGGCAGTATTAAACTAGAGCTCTAGAAAGACTGTAGAGTAATTATCCTCAGGTCTTAGGACAACAGATAAAGTCAAATAAAAAGTGTAAATGACCCACTATTCAACCGCATATAGATCATTGTAGCGTAATCACCCTTTATTAACACATCAAATTATTTGTCATTGCAAAGAGATCCTCATCACGACTCCGGAGAATGTGATCCACATCCTCGAAGTCTTCCAGAACCAAGCGTTACGCATAATTACTGGGGCAGTGAGATCTACTCCTATTCTTGCAATGCAGCTTTTAACCGTTTGGGAACCTGTTCATGATTGTATTACGAGAAAAGCGATCCTATTATACCAGAAGCTGGCGCGTTTGCCCGACAACCCTTTTGGGAGGAACTATAATAATGAAATTTCTAGAAATTCTTAAAACTGAAAGTGGCTTTACCCAGGTTACACAGAGAGAATCTGATGCTTTGGAATTGATCCGGGATTAGCTAATTTTACTTCCTTCCCATTGTCAACTGGACTTTTCAAATTTGAATATAAATCTTTATCTTATTCAAAGAGTTGTTAAAAACGAAAAAGCGATTCACAATTACGACATATTGCAATGGAAACTATTAGGGTTCGCTATCCTCAAAATGAGTGATTGCGGGTCTACACTGACGGCTCTATGTTAAGAGAGAATGCGCGGTGCTGGAGCAGGCATACATAACGAGTGTTTTAGTTTCTACTTACCAATGAGCTCTCTTACTACTGCCTTTGATGGGAAAATCGAAGCTATTGCTGTGGCTGTTCAACAACTGTCGATTCGTAGCCACTCTTTTGTAAAGGCAGTCATATTGTCAGATTCGAAAAGTGTGCTTCAAGCTATTATGAAAAATCAAAATAGTTCCCAAAGAATCTTAGACAGTAAGCCTTTGCTTAAGGCAATGGCACGCAGAATTTCTTTCCAATGGTTTCCAGCCCAGTTTGGAATTATGTGAAATGAAAAAGCTGATACATTGGCTAAGAAAGCAAATTTGATAATGCAACGCATTAATCGACCGCTTTCTTTTCATACGACTAAATTGTTCGTTAACCTGACTCTTAAGAAAATTCTTAAGCAGGATATGAATTAACGAGCTTATGCATAAGAGTTGGAGAATTCTGGGGAAAGAGACAACTTTCATTCCCAGTTATCCAAGGAAAACAGCGGTAACTCTATTTAGACGTCTGACCGGACATGAATGTTTGCGAAAGCACGTCTACAGAATTGCAGTGGTGGATTCCCCAAACTGTATTTTGTAAGACTCCAATCAGTCTATGATTTTTTAACACTTAAATAATTGTATTGCACTTTCTTGGTATGAGGAAAAGTACTGAAGAGCCTATTAACTAATGGCTTAAGCCCTAATGTTTGGCATTTGTACAATAAAAGTAAATCAATCGCATATAGTTGCATAGATCACCCCATTAGGGCTTACGTAAGCTAACACTTCTGGCTTAACTTAAACAAGTAATATTGAACTTAAAATGTATTTAAGCTAGCCTAACGGCTCACAGGATAATTTAAACGTGCAGGAAGGCTCTGGCTAGTAAAGTCGGTGAAACAAGCAAAATGGTTTGAAACACTCAACGCCACAGAATAAAATCGTTTTTAAGTCAGAGTAACAACACGGCCTTGAAGCAGGCATAAAACGCTTTAACATTACCCTCTAAAATCTTCGCTGAAATAGCACTTCTTAATCTCTTAATCTGAATAAACGCGCGCTATGTAATTTACATTCCGGTAGGAAAACGCTGATGAAAAGGAGAACTGAAACAAAGTTGCTTTAACTAAAAATAACTATTAATCAAAATAAATAAATAAATCTCCAGAAGATAAATTAATATAAAATGTCAATAATGCACAGTATGCATAAATGTTTGCTCAGATACTAATTATTAGAAATACTACGACAAAATATAGTTCTTCTAAATACCGAACTGCCGACTAACAGCTCACCACATTATGAACAATAGTAATTTTCCATTTATTCATTCCAAGGATTATTATTTTCGCCGATTTTATCAAGTTCGTTGAAACTATCTGTTGACATGAGTGTCCTCGGTAATCTTATTAATTTGTCATAAAATTTAACAACGTTTAGCCTTAAAATTTAACGACGTAAATATCGATACTGATAAATGTATTTAGCATTCTCGGTGCTATTACAAAACTGCTGGTAAAGATGTATGAAATATGTATTGATGTAGCTGTAAGATAAATATGCAGACAATGCATTCATGAATAATACTAATTAAAACATAATTTGCTGCTCGTGGATAAAACACTAGTCTAAAATCTTATTCTAAATATCAAGTCTTAAATCTGGTTTCATATAATTCTAAAGAAAATATAGAATAATTGATTAGTAGCTTTAGATCATTTTAATTGAATAATAAGAGATAAAATTTAATCATCTCCTTCTGATGTCTTTTATATATAACATGTTTATATTTCAGAACTAATAAAACAAACTTTAAGAAGTGGCAAAACGTAAAGCAAAAAATAATTTTCATCATAGATAAACGCTTAGTCACATGTTAAACTTAACAATTAAATGCTGGAATCTTCCATTTTTTTCCACACATCATATCATGGTTATTAACCTACAAAGTTTGCTCTTGTGGGACGTCACTGAAGTTTAGTTTGCTTATAAACAATTACTCTCTTTGTATCTTTTCCTGACTTTTGGTAGTACGTGACGCCAGCGCAGGGAACAGCCTTTGTCTATTGACCTTGTTTATAGTTAGTTTTTTTTATATTCATAAGCTTAAACTAAATATTTAAATAAAAGGCTGACCGCATTCTCCTCCTGAAAGTATGAAATTCATCTCAGGGGAATTCTCCCTAGTTGAGAATTCCCATATTAGTGCATGTCGTAATCATTAACTTCTTGAGTCAAACGCATATTGCTCTGACAATATCAGAATTAATTTCACAAAATCATAAACATGGAAGAATTTACAATAAACATTATGTATGATATGAACTTGTTTTCTAAAATGTTTTGAAACGTTTTAGTGCTTATTAAAATTATTTTTAAAATGAAAATTAAACTCATAAAGGAAAAATGAGTACCTAAGTGTTTTGAAAGGTATTCAAAAGGTGCAAAAGGTTCATGAACATCATTTGAGAGCAAGCTGTATTTAAAAGAAGTCTCAAAACCCTTTCTAAATTAATGATTATTCGTTTGAGAGTTTCGATTCTTACCCATTTCAGTTAGGCGAGTAGAAAATCCAATGAACAGAAGTAACCATATTTGTAGCCTGAAGTTTCCAGATCTTTTCTTCATGCAGGTTCTAAAACTCTCTTTTATGTTATCGAAACGAAAGAGGTCCATGAACATTTCCTTCATAGTAACTCCTTTTTGTCTTTCTTTTGTCTCCTTGACATAAAATATTGCCCACATCAAAGCTAAAAACAAACTTCCTGGAGATATGAACATGACAGGCAGGTAACCGCCCTTTTCAAAAACCTGACCGCCTATAAAAGATCCTAGAGGTCCAGACATTATAGAAAAGAATTCCAGAACGGCAAAGCGACTTTGCCTGGACCTGAAAAAAAAAAGAATAACTTATACTAAAAATGAAGGGGGGAAATGTAAATGTTTCAGCTAATATACCTGATTAATTTACTTTAAGTACAAAATTAAAAAGGATTCATAAAAAGAATTAAGAAATGTCACGAAGAAATTATTTTCAGCAGATTTGATATATGTCTTTGAACAATAAGTTACCTACAGACATGATTCAGCGAAAAGGTAATAAAAACAAAAAAAAAAACCGATGGAAAATAAAGCCACTTTTAATGTAATTTATCATAATGGCGATGCGATGGTCTACACAAAGATAAGAAATTCGTATGCACTGTCCTCTCACAAGTCGCAGGCTTCGAGCTGGTAAGAGATGGGAGATATTAACTTGTTCTGACAGTGCAGGAGCAATAATTTGTTCATTAATGCCTCTACTTGATATTACAAAACCCAGAACTTCACAGTCACTACCAGGTAAACAAGTAAAAGTACATGGCACACCCGACATTTCGCTACAGAATCGAACAGGTATTACCCCAATACACTAACCAGCTAAAATATGGAAAAAGTTAAACTGACCTTATGCTATTTCTAAGTAATACTGCAGTTATACTTCGGAGTTGTTACATTTAAACATAAGAGAAAAATAACATAAAATTACATACAAAGTTATATGCATACAAAGTTACATTAACAACAAAAAATGTTTGGTATATTCATTAAATTATTGGAGTAAGTGAAAATAGTAAAGTTGACATAGTGGAGATCATTGCATTGAAAATTTTGCATTTTTATGTAAGTGTATAAACATATGGAATTTGATTTTGCTAATATATCGTGAGTCTGATTCTTGTTATGTAGGGATATTTGTTACAGGTAAAAGTGCACTGAGTTCAGATCTTTCAGTCCAAATTCCAAAGATCATAAATAAAGTTCATGGCCTCAGCTCAGTTGGTTTGGTGTTTTGGAGCATTATGAAAATTGTTAGTGTTGCGTGGGGTCAATTATTGGGGTGTAACATAAATATTGCTCTTTCCACTACAAGAAAATTTAGTGATTGTCGGTTATTAAAGCCTCTCGATTTCAGGGAGTTGATGGACCAGTGATTTTGGGCTTCCCTGGTATAGCCTCAACTATAACGAAACAAGGATGTAAAATACAACCAGAAAATTAAAAGAGCATGACTAATTCAGTTTGCAGAATGTTCCAGACAGTGCAAGTACTCAAAAAACTCTGAAACTCTCGTCTATAGATATTCTTGTTGCTAGCACTATCTTCACATAATGAAAGGCAATAACCTTTCTTCTAAAGAATCATTTCTACGCATTTAATATTATTATCAATTTTTGTTATTATATTATTAATATAGCTTTTAACAGATTTATAATAAATGTGTTTTTAGTTCCATATGGAGTACTACGCTACCTAAAAATCGCAGCCAACTCCAATCACTAAAACGGAGTCACTTCACTAGTCCAATAGTGCACCAGGCCCCAAAGGTTTTGCTTTTATAACATTTTTAAATAACTTATAGGAGACAGGCTAGTGAACATGACGCAAAAATTGAACATAAGCATAATCCGATTGAAAGCACTTGCTATGGCAACAGACACTTCATTTTATTCTAGATAATTTAGACACATGGGAATAGTATGATTTGGCTTTATAAAAATTAAAATAATATAAATATATACATTAAACTTAATTATTTATTTGATTTATTTTAAAAAAGAAAAGACTGTAATCTGAGAACTTCGGATTACAGATAAACAAGTCTAAAAGTACTTAATTAAAATTTCAAAATTTTTTTTTAGAATTGAAAAGTAAAAAATTAATAATAGGTAAAATTAAAAGACTGAAAAGAAACTGTAATCTGATCTTGGCATGCAGATATCAATTTAACTCTTGAAATGCTTTTAACGTAAGCAGTTATGAGAGAAGATATGAAATGTATTTAAAATGACATAGCTATAAACAAACTTTATAGCTATATTTTATACTTAAAATGACGTTTCCAAAATAGCAAAGCTAAATTATGGGAAAAAATTGCCGTGATATTATTTCATTATTTTTTCACATGAAGACTACTGCCCGTAATTATCAAAATATAGCTATGCACTTATTTCATTCTAATCATGCTTGTAAATAATACTTGCAGCATTCCCTTACATTGTAATTAATTCTGTTTTGCCAGTACTTTCCTGGAATTTTCCTCGAATCATGGAATTTAATAACAGAAATTAAATTTGCATACATGTTTTATAGATCTTAGAATCTCATTGTTTATCACATCAGTGTCAATCTAGTCAGAGTTATTTAAAAGTAAACTGTTTTCATGTTGATACACTTTGATGCATCTGTCATGAATATGCATGTTCTGCATAACATGTCGTCATTTTCTTCTACATGTTTGGTTCTTGCCGATGACCGTAACAGAGAATGTCTGATTTTAACGTAGGTGACCTTTACATGCAACTTTCAGCTCTATATATCGTTTTAAGTCGCAAATTAGCAAGAGCTTTTAATTCTATATCTTGTAGTATCAACTGGTTTCGGAATATTAAATAAAATACATTTTAATTTATTCATAACTTTACTTCATTTTAACACTTCACTATACTATAAAACGTAAATTTTAACACTTCACTATAATTTTTTTCTCCAATGATAAACTTTTTGCGTCGCAAATTGGCCTCAGAAATGCCTCTTGCCCTCCTTTCATCAGCTTTCAAGACCGCTTCAGAAAACTGCAATTATTTTGTGTTCCGTAGTCTTTTATCTGAAAATTAGCAAAGACGATCCACTAAGGATATGTTTTCAAATCAACAGAAGTTTCATTTCAAAGCCAAATGAAAGAGTGGATGTGCATTCTTATTTTCCGTTTTTTTAAGTGAATTTTCCATTATGTGATCCTAATACAACCCCGCTGTTAAGAGAGAGTAATAAATTAAGCTATAGATCATCCCTTTTCGTTTTCGCTACATTTTGGGGGGGATTGGAAAACACGAAGCGACGAATGTTTCTCGTGGGTAAGGATACAGGCTTCATTTAACCCTCAAGAGTGTGCGTTATTACTGACACCTGAAGACGCTATCCAAATTGACGAGTCTGTCTCGAGGGAAACGCTGACGTGGGTAACTCAAATACATTTATAAGGTACATGCTTTGAAACAGCGACTTCAGTGGTCGAAAAACTGCGAAACAGAAGGCAGTTTTTAATACTTATATCTTATTTAAGAAATAGCTGAGCAATTAAAAAATTTTAAATATATAGTGGTATATGAGTAAAGAATTTTATGTTTAGAAAATCTGTTTCTGCCTACCTTTCATTAGTAATGTCAGACATGTAGCTGTATGTCGATGACATGATAATTACGATGCCACCCGATAAACCAGACACAGAAGCACTTGCCAAGAACCAGTATGGCGAAGCTGTTGGAAAATAAGCAATGACTGCTTGCATGAAGAAATCTATTACTGTTCCTATTGTTGCCAGGATGAGAGGATACTTCCTGTTATACTTGTCACTCCACGGTCCTTAAAAATATTAAATAATATATTATTGTAGGACCTTATTACTGTAGGACCTGATGTAAACTATTTAACTTTATTCAGAGGCAGAATTAACGGTGAGAGCAACGAATGCGCGCCTTGGGCGCCGCAAAATCCCAGGTTTATAGTTTTTTCTTATGATACCGAGTTTGGTTTCATACGTGGAATTTTAATTACCTGTAAGTTTACTGTTGGTAGTAAAACCGAGCGAATGCGTACGTCCCGAGCGAATACGTACGTCCCGTAGCGAGCTCCAGTTTTAACGCGGACTAAGTGTCGTCATTTAGTGCAATAGCGCACTATTCTTATATCAGTGAAAAGGTCTTGCCAAGAGCTCGAATTTGATGTTGATTTCATGCTATTTTGTCTAATATATACAGAGTAATGATCTTTTAAAGATTCCACTCCATTGTCTAAGCGATCGCAATTGATAACAGAGCAAGGAAGCACCAATATCAGCGAAGTGCTATTTAGCAGCGTTTTTATAAAAACGATAGCTCGGCTCCATCTGTTCATCCAGCCACAATCGAAGTACCATAGGATAGCTAATACTTTCCGCCCGCCCATGTTACAAGTTTGAAAGCTGTAGTGTTATTGTGTGTGATAATATTTCGTGTTTTTTAAGTGTCGAAGCGTGCATATTTCCACGATACTTATATACGTTCATATCTCACCATCCTTTGGGAATACTGAAGAGATACAGTAGTAGCAAGGTAGGCCTCTTTATTACCTTTATTTTGATGTGCATCTCATCTTCGTAGTCCCAATAGTTCTATTTTTATAAAGCATTATTGTTTAATTACGAATTTGGAATTCATTTTCCCCATGCCTAACCCCCCTGTTCGTCCTTGAGAACTCTACAACGTCCATTGTCCAGCCCCCTCTACATTCCCTTACCCTCTAAGGTCACTTGGGAGCTACCACGGAAGTTAACTCTACACTGCCATCTAAAGGACTTTGCAAGAACAATTTTCTCATGCGCTACTGTTCACATCCAGGACTTAGTTCTTTCCCCGGTAACACATCGGTATATTCTTTCAGTGTCGCACCAGTGTAGCATGAGTTATTTATTCTAGCGTGGCATTTCTTCAACTATTAGTTCTTTTTCCTCTAACACCCCATGGTTATTTTTGAACATACATATTTTTGAACATTTTGTCAGTATATATATATTTAAGTTTATTAAAATGATTCTATATATATTTTTTCTTTAAGCTTATTATAATGATCCACACATTTCCTGTTTTCTGTTTTCAGTAGTATTTTTAACGCATAGCGCGTAGAATATCAACTGAGTATTGTGTTTCTCGGATATATTAATCTTAATTTTCTGCTTTGTTTAATCATTTTAGTTCTGAAATACTATGCTTTCCGAGTAATAATATCAATTCTTCAATCAATAATTCCTATTTATTGTGCTTTTTAGAAATTGTAATTAAAAAACATTATTGCGTTGTATACTGTTTATGATTATCCAGTTTTGTGCACCTCGCTTAATATAACTTTAATCTCCTGCATTATTTTTGTATTATAATTCTCATTTACTGTGCTTTACATGTTATATAATTTTAACTTTCTGCAGTGTATAATCAATAATTCGCCAGCTTACTGCATACGGCTAATATAATTCTAATTTATTGCATTATATAATCTCAATTTCTCTAATTTCTGATCCCTCGAATGCGCTAACAACTCTACGCCAATCTCACATATATTCCCTTACCCTTTCCTCCTCCTCTATCTCAACTCCCACTAACATATTTAACTACTTAGATAATTAAGCTCATTATTTTTTCATTCCTCCTGCCACCTCATCTGTAGCTTTCCAACTCCTCATTCAGCAGGTACTTAAGTTATAATTTACTTATATTCAGTAAGTTTTAAACTTTTTACCAGTCTAGTGTATTGCCAGCATTAGCAGTTTGTACAGTACTTTTTTTTTTTTTATGGTGGTGATGTTTAACTAAACTTACCTGTTAACAGTGTTGCTTTAATTTTAATATTTATAGTGTTCACTTATCATTCTATTTTTTTAAAATTACATTATTGTTCTGCATTCACAATTATGCCACTAGCATGGTAAATCTGTTGTCCAGTTAGCATCGCTTATCTGCGACTTATTGTGCTAGTAATTTTCATTGTGCTAGATAACAAGAGATCTTTTTTATTTTAGTACTTTATTCACTTTTGTTTGCTCACTGTATTATATTGTATGTCAGTATCCAACTGCTTTGCAACTGTATAATTATGCCATCCACTACATCGCACACACACAAACCCAGTGACTACACTGAAGGCACTCATCCCCCCATCCCAAACACCTCCAACATACTATCGGAAGTAGCATCCTATTCAGAAAACTCGCACATGTCAGTGCCTATATCTGCCTCTGACATCTACTCTTGCAGCATGGAGATCGCAAACTCACATTACAGTCTCAGATATGTAATACCCAATGCTATCCGGGAAGAGCTAATCTCTCTATTATCAGTGCTCTATAAACTAGCCAGCAACAATGCAACAGAAACTTCCGAAATCATCAAATCCTGTGAACAACAGCCCTGCACCGCTGATGCAACAGCAAACAACTCACAGTGCTGCTCAAATTATCCACAGCCTGAAATTCCAAAGGACGCTACCAATTGTGATAACTATGTAGCACCCAGCATCAAAGAAACCTACGCACAAGTTCTGAGGCAAAAGAAAAAAGAGCCAGTCCTTCTCATCTATCCAAAAGACTCCAGAAGTGTGTCAAAATAACAAGAAAAAAATGCAAGAGATTTTCCCTATCGAAAACATCTAAATTCATATAAAAAAGATAGTACCGATAAAGCAAGGTGGACTTGCAGTACATTGCACCTCACAGGATGATGTAGCTAAGCTAGACAGCCTCCTGAAACAGACGGAAAAAGCAACTGATCCATCCAAGGTACCAAAGCTAAGAACTCCTAAGTGCACCATCCACCGACTGCCGCCGAATACAACAGCTGAAGCAGTAAGCACCGCACTTGCAAAAGCTACGAACAGCAACATCTCCAATTTTAAGCCTCTGTTTAAGCTTAAGGACAAATACAACACAATCAAATGGATTGTGGAATGTAAAATTGTTTCATTCCATAAATGTATGAACTTACGAACCGCCCACTTTGGCTGGCACACCAGTTCAATTACAGAATTTATAGGTTCATTCACAGATGTTATCACTGTCAAGCGTTTAGCCACCAGCTCTAAGGATTGCACCTATCATCCACACTGCGCTTACTGCGGTGGCAAAACACAGGAAAGCGAATGTAAATCTAATAGCCCTAACTGCATAAACTGTGAACATAAACAATAAGCATTTCGGCACCAAAATACTCATGTGACCATCCCACTTATGTCAACTACTGCGCATCCTACAAAGAAGAATTTTTAAGAATCAAAAGCAGAACGCAATACAATGAGTAGTCAACCTCCAAGCAACGTTAATATCATATAAAACCATCCCACTGCACTTCTCCGTCAGTCTAATCGTCAAAATGGAATTAAAGCTCTGCATATCACCTTCAGCGTTCAAAGATAGCCACCGATAATTTAATACAATTCATTTCAGAACAATATCATGACATAATTTTTGTACAAGAGCCATACTGCAACCAAGGTTCCCCAAGAAACTTACCACTAACATAGAACGTCATATCAGACACTACACAGTCCCCGAGAGCAGCCATCATCGTGCTAAATAAGTCCTGGACTCCACTCGTTATCAAAGCACACAGAGATGTAGTCACCATATCCATTACCACAGCAGAATCACAAATGTACCTCACTAGCGCCTATGCGTCGCCTATTGAAGACCTCGATAACACCCTGCAAGAAATAAAGACGACTCTCCACAATAGCAACGTCCCTCACGTGATCAACGGTGATTTTAACGCACAGAACAGCCTGTGGGGTTATCCACGTACGACCCCAAGAGGAACAGAAATGGAGGACTTTATTAACTCTAACAATCTAATCCTGCATAACGACCCTGAGGACTTACCCACTTTTACCACAATCAATGGAAGAGGATGGCCCGATTTGACTCTCAGTACACACCACCTAACTCACAAAATCCAGAATAGGAAGATCAGCGAAGACGATTCTTTCTCCGACCACAAATACATCACCTTTGAAATTGCCCAGAAAATAGAAAACATACAGATTAAACGCTTTCGAATTAGTAGCAGCACAGAGAAAATGTTTATCAAACTATTAAGTCCAAAAGTTCAATCCATTCTACAAACCATCACCCAGACTAATTCCAAAGAAGATGTCAATATATATGCAATACACCTCACACGACTTATTCAAGAATGCTGCCATGCATCCTTCAAACTAAAGTCAGCCACCAATCAAAGAAAAGCTAACTGGTGGACCAAAGAACTGCGTGCAGATCGCCAAAAGACCAGAGCGCTAAGACGAAGATTAAAGTCCCGCACAAACGACGAAGATCGCACAGCAGCATGGGCCGAATACAACAGGCAAAGGGCAATTTATAAGAAGAAAATCACGGAAGCTAAACTAAAATCTTGGACCTCCTTTTGCACCAATAACCAAAATACTTACGGAGTACTCTATAAAATGGCCACCTCAAAGATTTTCAAGCCGACGCAGATACACACCCCAAATAGCATACATATGCACAACAACGCCAACGTTACGACAGAAGCTTTAAACAACATCCTAGACCATGTTTTCCCACATGACAACAGCGAAGAAGACACCCCAGAGCAACGAGAATTAAGAATCTCCATTAATTCACCAAGCACCCCAGATGACAGACAATTTACAAAAAAAGAACTACTACAACTCGTCAAAACACTCAACAATGCAAAGGCACCTGGCCCGGATGGGATTTCAAATCAAGTTTTGAAGATAATCTGTAAAGTCAGTCCAGAAATACTTCTAAATCTGTACAATAAATGCTTGAAATACAACTGCTTCCCGGACTGCTTCAAGCACGGGCGATTCATCCTCTTCTCGAAGAAAAATAAAAAACCAAAGGACCCTCGCTCATACCGACCAATAAATCTACTACCAGCCATGGGAAAGCTCCTTGAACGACTTCTGGTCAATAGACTAACCAGTATGGATTTAAACCCAAAAGCTCAACCACTCATGCAATAGATATAGCAATCTCTCAAATATAAGCAAACAAAGGCCATCAAATGCATTCGGCTCTCCTATGTCTTGACCTGCAAAATGCATTTGATTCTCTCTGGTGGCCAGCTGTCAAGCAGGCCCTCAGGGAGATGCAGTGTCCAAGAAACCTGTACCTTATGATTACGGACTATCTCAAGAACAGACAAAGCGTAGTAATCTATGACAATACCATAATCGCCAGAAAACAAACTAGAGGATGTCCCCAAGGGTCGTGTATGAGCGCGGACCTCTGGAACATCACCATTAATAATATTATCGATCATCAGTGGCCAAATCACACAAGGATTGTAGCCTTCGCTGACGATGTTGTCTTCATAATCCAAGGATCTACACGAAGACAACTAGAGGAAAACTGCAACACCACCCTTAATATATTCAACTACCTTTGTCATAGAATAAAACTCCAAATATCAAACATAAAATCGCACGCACTTATAATACACAAGCCAGGACAAACAATAACCAGGAATCCCACGCTACGAATTGGAAACAATAAAATAAAATGTGTGAAGACCATTAAGTACTTAGGACTCACCATAGACCAGAAATTCAATTGGATACGACATCTTCAGGAAAAGAAGCTAACCACCGCCAAAATCGCAAAAGCATTAAGGGAAATGAAAGGATATTCCTGGGGCCTTAATCATCGCATTATGAAAATTCTATTAAAGACGGTAGTCAATAAAAATAATCACCTATGGAGCCGCTATCTGGGCCTTTCCCATGACAGCAAGAAAAATTCGGACCCTTAACTCAATTCAAAGACCTTTCTTGATCAATATTACCCGATCATTCTCAACAACCTTCACCAACGCACTACAAACAATAGCCGGGGTGATGCCGCTACCAATTCAAACAGAAATCGACGCACTGTCCACAATCATCCTACAACACAAGAAAACTTCGACGTACAACGGCGTAATTTTCAATCCACAAGAATATGAAGAAAAGCCATCGAAATATAACAGACATCCTGCTCTGGGTCTTCACAATCTCCATTGCAACCTCGACAAGCCACCTCCATCAACTGATTTTACTGCATACACGGATGGCTCAAAGATCGAAAATAAGGTAGGAAGCGGAGTCACCATAAAAACAAAACAGGCCTCCACTCGGAATGGCAAGGCTACCTTCGGCCGCAAAACAGCGTATATCAAGCAGAGCTCATAGCCATACTAAACAGCATTATGCAACTTAATGACTTAAATACAGATACCATCCACGTAATCACCGACAGTCAGTCTTCCATACACGCCATCAAACAACAGCACACAAATTCTCCTATAGCCCGGCAAATTCAAGACATCATAAGCACAAGTAATAAGAAATTTGTCATGTCATGGACCAGAGGGCACAACGCCTGTGAAGGCAATGAAAGGGCCGATTATCTAGCAAAACAGGCAGCTCTAGAACAAACAGGATCTCAAATTTCATATCCCATGGCCTAAATCAGCATTAAAATACAAGCTAAAACAAATGGCGAATGAAAAGTGGCAACGTCAATGGGAACAAGAACCACAAGGACGACGTACATTCGAACTACTACCCAAGGCTGATGAAAATACCGCAATTTCAACCTACTTCCTCACCCAGTACATCTCTGGTCACGGTCCCTTCCCCAAGTATTTTTATGATCGCAATATGGCTACGTCGGATAGATGCATATGCGGGGAATGCGGAGACCCTGAACATTACAAGTTTAAATGTCCGCTAACGTCAGCCCATCACATTCGCCATCCCACCGACACTGGAATAGAATTTAAAAGATTCATTATTAAGCACCGTAAAGTTTTCCAAAACATCAAAAATATTATTGATTTCTTACACCGCCAAGGACTGGACCTGTGTCATCCATAGCTTACAACTCCAAATAATCCTCTAGGTTCATAAAACGCAACAATAATAATATCCACTCTCACCCTCATACTATACAGGAGTGCCTTTAGAAAACACACTTAAATATATCCATTTATTGAGACAACCGTAACTTTTCTCATACCACGAACTATGAACTACTTCATACTGTACAATGCGTGACAGATGCACCAGTACTACGTACTCAACACTATGTACCATGAAATGAATTCATAAACTGTATGCTGTATTATGAACTGCACTATGAATGATAACTTATAAACTGTGAACCGTGTAACAAAAAAAACCAAACAAACAACGAACCACATACCATAAACACTCCCCCCCCCAACAACAAAGCTCCAAACCGAAACACAAAAAAAAATATGTATATACATCTGTAAATAACTTATTGTAATTATTGTATCTATACATTCAACTGCAAAGTACCCGTGTAAAGTATATCTGAGACAATATTGTCTGCAATTCAAATTATGCACCATAACAGTGTATTATGAATTCTGCTTGCTGCAATGTAAACTAATTTCTGAGCATGGTGTTAGCGTGCCCGGTCAGGGTAAACTTCTATAGATGGTTAGTGCAGTGGGGCGATACCAGTTTTGCCCATGGCGATGTTTTGGTGCCTCCTGCACTTCTTGACTGCCATTGACTGACTGTTGGTAGTAAAACCTCACACAGTAGGCGTCACTTAATGCGATCACATTTATCCACGCATATTTTGATAACATTAAACGATCAGAAAAAAATTACCTTCAGAATAACGTAGTGATGGATTAATTTAATACAAATGTTACCGACAATATATGAAACGCAGGCATTTTATAGAATACCTAGGCATTTTACAGAACCTCTGGCGTTTTTAGGCAAAGTATGAAATATGACAATTATTATATAACTTCCCTTATAGGCATTCTATAGAATGACAGAAGAAATACCTTATAATTTTATTTATTAAAAAATAAGATTATATTTTATTTTACCTGTCTCTCTCTCTTTTTTAGGAGGCCAATATTTTCTTCTGTGCCGATAATCTATTTCTGACTATAGTGATATTATTTCAGATGGCTTTTATTAAATGTAGAATAAGAGTTTGAGATACTATGAATTATCAAAAGAAATAAAATAGGTATCCTAATGTAAGAGCTAACTAATTTTTCGCCAGCAAATCCAAAGCAAAATATTTTTTAAATCTGAAATACGTTTATTTTTAAATACCTTGAATCACAAAAAGTATATATACGTTATAATTTTCTTTCTGCAAATACGAACTTTTAGGATCACTTCATAGAAACTACTGAAATTTGAATCTAACATTTTCTTCATCTTTCTGATAACAGAACTTCAAACATAAACATGAATCTGCTTAAACTAAGATACATGTACGTCTACGATGAATCACAATATTATCAGCAGTTTCCTTTCATTCTACGAAAAGTCTCTGCCATAAGGCCTGCAAAAAGAACCATCTTTAACATGGAAGATTATTAATTTCACATTTATGCATCATTAACAGTAGCTTCGAAACAGCAGTAACAATTTTTAAATTCCGGAAGCAAAAAAGAGGAAGAAAACGTTTTCATTAAAAGAAAAAATTTTCTATTTTTATTCCGTTGTTATTTACCCAGTATTATTGTTATTTATATAGTAGGTGTTGCTTAACGTAATCACGTTTATCCAAGGCTATTTTAATAATGATAGCTGTTAAACAATGACAAATATATCCTTCAAATCAGCAACAGAATTTAACTAAGTTAATAAAAATACAGTAGTAACATATAAATGCTTAATTTCACACCACTTTAACTAGGAAAAATTCGTTACTAGTGTATTGTTTGCAACACTATGAAAAAGTTCAGTTATGAATAGTGTCTAATCTTTCTAGAAATTACTTTACCATTGATTACCTAAACTTAATACTCGTAGGACTTTCTATATCAGCATTTAAAGGAAATTCACCAGTTTCATTTTTACGTTCTTCGGAACATTTATTACATGATATGCTTGGATCTCTTCTGTCATCTCCATCTGTCTTAAGAAGAGAGACCTGCGTCTGATCGTTCTCGAAATCAAGAGAGTTGTTGAGAATGTGCACCAAATTAAACAAAAGATTACATTTTTGCGTAATTTCAAATGATGGATTAAAATAAAAACAAGAAGTTTGTTGATTTAATTCCTTATCTGGTGATATTTTCAGTCATTCAGCAATTTTTAAAACTTATTTTGACCCTATTTTGAGCATTTACTTCAACTTGAAAAATTCATTGTATGACATTATGATAATATTTTTTTCAATGGCAGATTGTGAACAGTTACAGTGTATCCCAGTCCATTAATCTATACAAGGCCAGATGTGGTGGTCCCTTTATTATGGAGGCACCTAATAGGTGGGCCACCATTCCCTCCTATGAAGGGGCAACCATGCCTTCTCCGGGATTCGAAACCAGGCCCTTCGGTATCGCAGTCAGGCTTCCCTAACCACTATACCGTCTGGGCGCCATTATGATAATATTAACCGTACTGTTGATCACATTAAGCAATGAATTTTCAATGTTTTCCTATACAAAGGGTTGGGCAATTTGATACCAATATCCAAATGTTAATATTAAACGTGATCATATTAAGCGACGTCTACTGCATAACATTAATTTCTTACCATATAACAAAAATTCCTTTTAACATTATGTAACGCAAACTAAGAAACATAACTTTTTTTCGGAAAAGTATAGTAAAAAAAATCACATTTTACCCAAAAACGTTGCCATCACAACAGAAGGCAGAGTAGCTATCATAAGTACCGCAGTATATAAATTATTGCCGTAGGATACGGCGGCGAGCTGTTCTCGTTCATTTTCTTCGTTTTCTAAATCATTGCATATTTCACTGGAAAAATTCAGGGATACTCTGCAAGCTCTGTCGTGTAACAGACTCTGGAGTGTAACATGGCTTACGTTGAGAGCGAACATTACCAGAAACATGTACGGCTCTATACTCGTTTTCTTCAAAAGATCGAGTAGTCTGGTTCCGAAACTCTTCGCAGTCGCAGTCACAGAAGAACTACGTGCTTTCATCTCTGAAAAAAATGACATAGCAAAACTATAAAATAATTGTGATTTAAAAAAATCTGAATAAATTTTAAAACATCAAAATTGCAAAACTTTAAAACAGTCATTAGGATGCGAAATAGCTGGCCGTGCTTAGTAAAATTAAAGTAAACGACACCAGCAGTGCTATCAACAGCAATTTAGGACAGAGTGACCAATGCTGAACATTATTTTCTTCCCGCTGCAGTGCAGGGCATACAAAAAAGCAGATTTTGAGAGAAACCACTGACATTAGCAATGCTGCCTATCATATGGTAGTTTCTTTCATTGCCACATATGACAGCATCTTACAGTCTTTCTTTCTTCTACAACGGCCATCTCGATAATAGGCTTCAATCTTCGATCTTTACAATCTGTTGGGTGCATAATTCGATTTTAATTTTCATTCAGTACTACCTAAAATGGTGGAACTAAAAAAAACAGTGCGTTGAAGATTTTTATTGAACATAATAGAAAGTCACAATAGGTTACCTGTCCTCAAGTATTAAGTGTTTCAAAGAAGTGTAATGTGAGTGGACACTATGCCAGCTTGCTCAAGTTAAAATACGACCAAAACCAGGAAAGAGCCAAGGCTTGTGTGTTTAAATGATTGAAGCTAAAATTAACCAGAGAGAATACCATCTTTCAACAGCCATTAAAACTGCTGGTTTAAAGGCATCTTATGAGGTATGTTTAGAGGTAGCTAAAAGCAAAATGTCTTTTATAGATGAGCACATTATAAGATGTGCTGTAAAAATGGTATCTTCATTTGGAGATAATAAGATTGCTAAAAGATTTGAAACATTGCCGTTGTCTCATTAGACAATAAGTAGAAGAGTTAATGAAATAGGCAGTAAAAGAATTGACGAAATGATAATTAGGTATAGCTGGCATCAGTAAGCTCCTAATCTTTGTCAGAACAATAAATGAAGAATTTGAAACTCATAAATCACTATGGAATTAAAATCATTAGAAACCAGCACCGAAGGTATTGATGTATTCAAACCACTGAATAATGTCACTTCTAAATATGGAGTTTTGGGGAAGTGCTCTGGCATTGCAAGAGATGGAGCTAAAGCAATGATGGGTCATAGAATTGGGTTGTAGTACTGCGTAAAGAAAACTTCATACATTGTTTTTTTCACTGAATTATCTACCAGGAAGCTCTCTGTGGAAAATGATAAGGCTCGAAACTGTTGTAATGAGTAACAGCGAAAACTCATGCAAACTTTGTAAAAATACTATAAAATCAAAGGCATTAAAGACCCGAAACATAGATCATTTAGTGCCTTTCTGGACAGTTTAGAAGCTGAATATGGTGACATTTCACTGTACTGTGAATTGCGCTGGCTACGTTCTGGCAAATGCCTGTAAAAGCTTTTTAGATTGCGGAATTAAATTCTTACTTTTCCCAAAACAGAAAAATTCGGGCATGAGTATCAAGCAAAAATGAAAGAAATCAAGTTTTTAAATAATCTTTGCTTTCCTGACAGATTTAACATCTCATTTAAATGCTTTAAACATGAAACTACAAAGCTGAAAACAAAATATATTCCAGCATTATGGACATATTGAGGGCTTCCGTAAAACACTTAATGTAATATAAATTGTATTGAAGGCAAATAATATAGTTCACTTTCCATCTTGTTAGCAGTTGAAAGAAAAAGAAGAAAATGACACAAATCTTTTCGTATGCTTCAGGAAATAACAACTGAAATCAAGAAAGAGTTCCAAGACAGATGCCAACATTTTTTACCTTTTAAATCCCAAACTTGCACTATTAAACAACTTTATGGAGATTAAATGAGTGAGTGAATAAGCCGTTACGTTGGCTTCCAACCACAGATGTGAATCGAACGGAATTATACACCATCAAAGCGAGGAAATCTACTAAGTTACAGTGTTAAATATTATGTAATAATAGCAGTTTCTGTATTTTTTAAGTCTTTCTTGTCCAAAGTTTATTCACATTAATAAACATTCTGAGTACCTGAAACAAACTCTCAGATTTATACTTCTTGTTTAGTGAAAACAGCCTTAGAGAATATTATGTGCTAATAGCAGTTTTTATATTTTTTAAGTCTTTCTTGTCCAAAGTTTATTTACATTAATAAGCATTCTGAGTACATTCTACTAAAATACAGTGTTGAATATTATGTGCTAATAGCAGTTTCTGTATTTTTTAAGTCTTTCTTGTCCAAAGTTTATTCACATTAATAAACATTCTGAGTACCTGAAACAAACTCTCACATTTATACTTCTTGTTTAGTGAAAACAGCCTTAGAGAATATTATGTGCTAATAGCAGTTTCTGTATTTTTTTAAGTCTTTCTTGTCCAAAGTTTATTCACATTAATAAACATTCTGAGGACCTGAAACAAACTCTCAGATTTATACTTCTTGTTTAATGAAAACAGTCTTACTATTCTATGATAAATTTAATAGTAGTTAAAGGATTATTTAATGGAGATAGGAGTGAGTGTGCTGCCCTGCGATCTTCAAATGGTAATTTGTGATCTTCGTTTGTGTGCAGTTCGCTGTTCATAGGTGTTTGTGCGCAGTTTGCTGTTGATGGGCGCTTGCGTGATGTCGCTAACCAGTTATAACTTATGTAGTTGGTTTTCTAATATTTAAAAGTTCCTAATTATATGAAACGGTAAAATAGGATCCATGAAGATAAACAATTGTATAAGAGAGTGGAATTTCAGAAGCAGAATAAGGTAGGCAACCATCATAACTTCTTTTGTGAAAATAGAAGAGGCCGCTAGAGACATAGGTTCTAGACCATGATGTCACTGGTCAAATTACACTAGGAGAAGCTAAGAGCGTCAGGGTGTAAGTATGGTGTGCGGTTGGTGTTGGTCAAGCAGAGTTTAGAAAATAAATGCCAGTTTTACAAAAATGCGTAAGAACAATTAAATACAAGCAGCAGACACAACACTTTACAGCTAACAACACTTTACGGACAACAGTAGGTGCAAGACTGGCATATATAATGGGAAAGTATGCATGTATATAAAAAATAAAGTTAACAGAAAAAAGTCATTTAAACACAATTTCAAAATTAGGAACATAACCAGTATAGCAAGGAGAAATTATATAAGGTGTCTAAGGACCGCCATCGACATTTTATAACTATTATAGTCATAAATGAGTAGAGGTATTGTAGCATTTTGAACGTCCAGAATTTTTCCAGAAGAAAGACTCGGCCAGTTTGGCCATATGGTGGCTAACTTCAAGAATTTTAAATTTACGGTGCATTGTCGAGTTCCTAATGAACCATCGGCAGTTTACGATTCTCTTAGTACAATATTTTGGGCAACCATGATTTTCAGGCAGACCAGTTCTACCAGACTAAAAGGTGTGATGTCCCTGAATTTTTCTGGAGACTGATTTCTAAAGAACGTTTTCCCACACTCCTTAAGTTCTCTCTGCAAATTTTATCGCTGTTTGGAATAACATATGTGTACGAAAGCGCTTTTTCTGTTCTAGAAAGGGCGGCTTTTTTCTTTAGGCGGCTGGCTGCGAGAGCGGCTAGTTTTTAAAAAAAATAATATAACGAATATAAAAATATGTATGGCAACCTCTAACACTCTATCGGGAATTCTAAAGATATGTCATTTTTAAATATTTTGTGGTTTTGCTGTTGAACTGAATTTTAAGTGCGAAAAAAGTGATATTATAAATAAAGTTAACACGTAAAAATTTAATAATAAAAAGGAAATGGTTTTTCGTTAGCCAGGTTACTAAGAATACTGAATATTGATGTGATGAACAGAGATAATGAAAAAATATAAAAATATAGGCCAATACTTAACACTGCATCGGGTATTGGAACATAAGCTGCTAAGTAACTTTTAAAATTTTGTGATTTTATTGGTGAAGTATATGGAGCGTAAATGCGAAGAAAATGATGCTTAATAATAAAGCTAGAAAGACAAAAAAATGTATTAGCAGAATAGAGTGCAAGAGCAGACTGCTAGACCATGAGCTCAGCTAGAGTGCTTTAACCTTTTTGGACGCCCGTCAAATTTTGAAACCTTTCAGTCGCCCCCCTCCACCGGTAGGAAAATTATATCAAGCTAATAAAAGGGCCAGACATTACTCACGATCGAAAGCTAGTTATACATTTCTCGTTTATTAAAGAAACTTGATAGTTCGAAACAAGCACAGAATAAAGTACAATAAATAGAAGCTACTACCTGTATGCTTTATAAGATTTTACGTTAATTATATTATGAGTTGAGCCTTTACTTTAACTTCTTCTTTCCGTATTCTTCACCAGAATGAAAATTAATTACTGTTTTATTTAAGATGTGGTTTTGAAGGCTTAGATTAGAGGTCCTGGAAACTCATGCTTTTACATGGAAAACTTGCTGTTACATGTTATGCTTTGCCAAAGTTATTTTGGCTTTATCATCTTGGTAACTGACGTTTAAAATATGCACCATTAACTAACTTTAGACAGCTTAAGTAGTCTATTTTGTGTGTAGTCTCAGGCTATGTTATCTACATTGAAATTTATGTTAATTTAAATGCCCGCAGTAACAGAGGAACGTCTATCGCAAATAAAAAGTTATTTTAACATTTTTAAGACTTGTCATGGCTTCCGATTTCCACAACTCACTTTCAGTTGAGTTGGGTCTACAGTACATTAACAAAAGCTTGTACACATACCAGAACCCTACAACTTGTACTGTCGTACATTAAAGCTTGATGAATAAAGTCAACGATTCACTCCATAGGACGTCATTATCAGCTTGTGGAAAATGAAGTCAATGCCTTTTTACTATGTATTAATGGAAATTATGAGAAACTAAAAAATTTAGTTTCTCACAGTTCAATACGTATTCTCTGACGTATACGTTCAATTACTCTGAAAATGTTAAGCGATTTCACAAAATAAGTTGTATTGCGCTCTAATTTAAATTGCGATTATAATGACACATTCTGTTTCATATTATGTTAAAATATCTGAATACTACAAGCAGATAAACTTTAAAAATACATATTTTTTTAGGTTTCTACAGTTTTGACCGTTGCTGTTTTATTACTACTCGAAAAAAGCAAATATGACTCTGTGTGAGTTTGAAATAAATCAGTTTTGAGTATGTTGAATGTTTTTGAACTTACTCGAAACGTACAATTAGCAGCAAAAATAAACCGTATTCGATACGATAAATGTTTCTGTCTCTTAATAAGTTATTACTATTATTTTGGGTGTATGCAAATTTTCTTGCATTTTTACGTGAAAAATTCCGTTATGTGGCAGTCCGTCAGCGGCTGTCAGTCTACAATGTATTCTTAATTATTATATACAAATTTTTATTTTTTGTAGGGTAACTTCTCTCTTTTAGTTAAAACTCCTTTCCTCTTTTGCGTTAGAAGTACTAAAGTGCATTAGAAGTTCACTACAAAAATCCATTACACTCTCTACCCTTAAGGAAACTGTGTAAAAGATTGAAAGAAGTAGTATCTTGTTGGGGAATATCCAGTGAAACGAATCTGTGGTATAAATTTCAGGACAAAATTCTGCAACTATCGTTGAATCTAAAGAGATTTGTTGAGCTTTGTTGGCATTATTGAATACCCTGCCTTGATGGGAGCTTTTTTCTCTGGGTAAAATATTCATGAACAGTTCTGCTCATCGTTTAATTTTTAGTTTGGGGACGGAATCGATCATACCTCTGAAATCTCACCGGGTATTTAGCAAAACCTTTTGGGGATGAAATTCGTGTTTGAGGTGAATTGTACAGATTTTCCTGTCTATAAACAACAAACGTTAGTAGGCATTCTTCTAAAATATTCAATTCTCCATCACCACATACCATTAGACGCAACATTACGGCTATACCTCGAATATTCCCCTACAAGAAAGCACACATTAATCATTTTCGCCTTCCCTCTTTCTGATAGTTCATGTGATGCAAATGATCTAAATTTATCACGCATCTTAAGGCCTGAATTAGTTTCTTCCCACGCTTATTCTGCCGCAATAATCTTCCTCACATTTGCTTTAATAGTTCCTCAATTTTCCTGATGCCTTTCTGATCTTGATTATTCTTCGAGCAGCCTTTCATCATTACTGAAGAGCTAATACACGTTATGACACAGCATTATTGCTACATATCATTCAACCTGTCTCTACCAGATTGTGTTGTAGATCATACCCTTACAAAGCACAATGTTTTAGAATTTTTATTTGTTTTTCTTTCGCTTATCGCTTAAAGAAACACGCGATATTGGTATCAGTGCCTTTTACGGAATAGAACACTGAGCAGTCCCATATGACTCCCACGTCTAATGAGCACGTGCAAATTTTTCCGAGATCGAAATTATTAGCTCGGTAAAAATGCAAAATCTTTTCCCATACTGAATAAAATCCTTAAATTAGAATATATATAGAGAGAAAAATAAGTTTCAGGAATTTAAGGAAAGTCCTAGTGAATAAAAGAAATTGATTTAGTAAATTGTACAGGAGCATTATTCATTTTCAGAAGTTTTTCATAAATTTTACTTTTCAAGAATTTTACTTTATTTATGTTTTAATTAGCTTCTTATATTTCAATGTTATATTTTATCGATTTCCCTATCATTCAGTTTGTTAATATTCAGTATATCATTAAGATATTCAAGGACAATAACGTCAGAGCAATAAAGGATGCTGTTTTTATAACTATGAATAACCTTTGTCATTTTTCAAAAGACACATGACAACTACAGATAAAAAAGTTATCAACTTCACGAGAAACAACTCCGGCTCAGTTAATCTTCCTTTATCGCTGAGACAAGATTGGAGTACGAGTTATGAATCTCATTTTCCCCAGTAAATGCAAATAGAAATGGTATCGTGACAATACTGTCGATTAATATTTTATGATTAGAATCTAATACGAAATGTTCGTCGTTAGTCAGTCAATAATAGTTATAAAAGTTTCTTCTTTTTCACGAACATCCAAATACGGTGCCTGTAAGTATGGAATCAAATAAATGTGAAGAGGGTAGTAAAACGGTAATGTGCCGTTCAGCATGAGAATAATGTAAGATATGGCAAAAAATAAAATAAGTTCGCATACATACTATTTGCACCAACTTTACAGAATCTTCAGATAAAAACAGAGGACTAGCGCAAAATGGGAATCTTCGCTCAACTTCTCAACACAGACTTGAAATCTACATGAGAAGGTCTGCAGATTTTCTTAGGGTATAGTACAATTAATCATTTTCTGAAAAATAAACGTAATAAGTCAAAAATTTGACATCGAAATTTAAATTTGGAAAGCATGGTTATTTTAATAGGTATGTAGATCTCTCATACGAGATGAGTTTTAATTCTCTTGACAGCGTTAAAGTATTTGTATATATCTGTTTTCTAACAGTAAAATTCTGGATCGCAAATTTTGGAAATAAATCTCTCAATGTTCAATTCAAATAAACAGCGGAGAGATTTTACAATTTTCGAGCAAATTCAGTTTAATTGAGAGGAAAAAATAAATCTTACAATCGCAGAAAAATTCTTGATTTCTTAAATTTTATGCAGCTGATATTAAAATATAATAAGGTTAAACTAAAATTACAATTTAAGTTTCTTTTTAAATGCTACGAACAAGTAAAATCTTATTATATACAGAGCTGGGAAAAGATACATGAGAGAAATATAAAGGAAAGATATTTCTTTACCGTTAATACTTAGCTCTAGATTTTTACTGACATTTAAGGATTTAATTATTTGTAATTTTTAAGAATACCATTTACGTGAATGCATAGCTAAGATATCTGACCCTCCCAGGTCGAGAAAATTTAGATGCCCCTATATATAGTAAGAGCGAGATTAGTAGATAAGTGGATAGAGATATATATAATCTATAACTACAATATATATCTATCTATAGATATATATTCCTTAAAAGTTTCCCTAGAATAAGGTTGCTAAACAAACATAGGGATCGTAATCTATAGCTGAAGAAAAACAACAAATTCTTTATGAACACTTGTGGAGAACCTGTAGCTTATGAATTGCAGGATATTGAAATTTAGTAGCAAGAAATTGTTTCCCGTTCATCATTGTCACTGAGCAATCTGTGAAGACTTTTTTTAAATATGTTAATATTTTTCCCCTCTAATTCTGACTAAGGATGTTATCCAACGATGCCGCAATGCAAGGCAACAGAATGTTGTGGCTTCTAAAATTAGAAGCAATTTCAGTTAACTGCTAAATTTAATAAATGTGAATTTCAGGATCATATTTAAAATTCTTCGCTGCACACATTTTATATCAGCTTTCATATTATTACAGAACACTTATTATTGTATATTGGATCTCTGTATATCTCTGTATATTGAAAGTCTTGCAGCTAATGTTTCTTTTATCTAGTAATTTCATAGTATCAGTGGTTTAATTCCTGTAAATTCTGTCTCCAAATTAATGTTTTTTCAGCTCTTTTCTCGCGCGACGAAACGCAAAAGTTTTTTTTTTTTTTTTTTTCCCTAACTCATGAGTCCAGAAACAACAAGATTAATTTCCACTCATCAAAAAATAAACAGCAGAAGTAAAATGCAGAATGCAAGTATTTTGAATATAGCTGCACTGTCGTAAATGCTGATAAACAATCTTACAAAGCACCAAGTTGCAGTTTAATAATAACTTCAATTTCTAAAACAAAACACTTCTATGTTTACATATGTGTGCTTTTGTTAAAACAATTAGCTTCAGAGTCAACTGCCTAATGTTGATTTTTCCTCCGATGCTTTATCCAAATTTTCGTTCTTTCGAATTCTCCAGTTCATCTATCTTGACCACAGACTTACCTTGAATGTCTTCTTATATGTGATTACAATCTTCTTGTAAAATATATTTTTTTAAACCTTACCTTCTGGGTTTTTCAATAACTGACTTTCCTCTTTGGGTGTGGTTTATTTGATTATGGCAAAGCACTTGGGAGGTATTTGCCGAGGGGGAAGAATGCCTTCGTTTAGGACTTGTAAATGAAACTAGCTCGTATACACAAAAGGAAAAAAGCACAAACTACGAAAACACTCTTGCAACCAGTTCTCTGACCAGAATTCGAACCAAGAACAGAACTACCAGCGTTTAGCGGCTTTACCGCTCGGGTACTGGTGGGTTTTTTTTTTTTTTTTTTACGCTTTAAGTGAACATTATTATTAGATTTCCTTTTTGTCTATTTTCAAGATCCCATATGTGAAGTACTAATTGAAAAACTTGTAAACCTATATAGTATATATACTTTTTAAATTCAGGTATACGGAAAATCAAATGTATAAACCTATTCAGATCCATATCCAAATAAAAATTTATTTATAGATAATTAAAAATCGTACAGGGCATCAAATTTCAGGACAATGGCAATAGAATACTAATTTCAGAAAAATTTCCTTTAAGCAGCTTTATTATAGTCTGTTTATATTATACTATTACAAATCCAAAATTTCAATATTTCAAAGATAAATGAAAACAAACTATAATTTATATTGCCTTCAAAGAATTAATTAATAAATACGAGTATACCAGTATTTAACTGCAAATTTTATTAAATGTGATTATTAATATTAACCTCACGTTTCTTTATTCATATTAATTTTCAAATTTTATACAGATGTTACGTATAATAATTGAACTTTAAGAATATGTAAAAAACAAACTAATTAACCAATGTTAATTAGTTTAATCTAATAAACCTAATTATAATAAGAAACTAAACCGACCTAAATTATAATAAGAAATATAATTAAAAAGTTTCCTTACTTGAACCCTTGTCAATTTACTTGTATATTGCCAAAATTTATTTTTCTTCTTAATACGCAAATGAAGAAACATTACAAGAGTTGGCAAACAATAAAAGCCAGAAGGTTAGTTAATCCGAGAACCATTCATTGAATTATCTGATTCATTGATTGTTGATAAAGCAAAATCGGAAAATTTGCTTTATCAGCATAAAAATGAATGAAAATGATAACAAATTTCATGCAGTGTCATTGAGAAATATAATTGTTACGCAGTATTTCTAGAAAATGAAAATTTACTTCTTCAGGTTACTTTTAAATAAATAATTTTTTTACATATTTATAAATTATAAACTTATTTATTCAACTTTATGAGAAAATTATTCTTTTACTTATTTGTTACTTTCTTTTCTATTATCATTTCATTTATTCATACTTATCTAATTAAAAGTAGCTCTTCGTTTAATATTTATATAAAATATTTTTCTTAAATCTTTGATACCTCTAGTTTATGCACAACTCAAGCTCAAAACCCGTTACTTGTTCTTATTTAATTCAGAAGTCAAACAACAAAAATCAGCGTTATATTTTCAAATTTTCACAGGACTAATTTCGATGGTTTTACCGAACCACCATCGTCAGCTGCAATAGCGCAATCAGCTGCGTCAGCGCTATTGCAGCTGACGATGGTGGATCGGTAAAACCATAGAAACTAGTCCTGTGAAAATTTGAAAATAGAGCACTGATTTTTGTTGCTTAACTTCTGAATTAGTATTTGTTCGGCGTGTTATTGTGTCTTAATTGTTCTTATTTATTTAAAATTTAAACAGCTGCTTCATTTTACGCATTTTGACAATTTACGTTCTTTTAAAATACTTATTTATACACATTCAATTTCCTCGTAACTGGCACTCAGTTAACCGGCAGTATCAAAATAACGGTTTTGGGGGGGGGTTTAAATTTAAGTCCGGAATTCAGGATATAAAAAAATTTAATGAGAACCCTTAAACATGAAAACATTTGTGTTACGTTTCTGCGCCCAGCGTACCAAACCTTATCAAAGCAATGATTTGCCCAGAATATACAGATGAAGTACTATACGTACTATACTTTTTTCCTGCCGCTCAACCGATATAGCGGATAGCGCCGCTGACTGCCGTGCCGAAGGGCCCGGGTTCGAATCCCAGAGAAGGCATGGACGTTTGTAAATGTTTAGTGTAGGTGCGAGATGGCGGCACTCTAAATATGCGTCCTCTGATGTGGTTCAGTGGAAGGCGAGAGGGGTGGGAGACCCTCGTTCCCACAGGGCGCTCTCCATCAAACTTGGGGGCGAATCTGAGCTAAATCGCACTGTCACCTGAATGGTCCTCAAGACTGCTGCCAACGGCAGGCGCAAACTAGCGCTCCTTGCCACGAAGAATTTAGTGGGCTTATCTGACGTAGTCAGACAAGTGAGCATAAGCAACAACAACATTTTTCCTGCGTCTATGAATGAAGTTTGAAAGACGAGTCCATGAAAACAATTCAAATTGAAAGAGATGATATTTACCTTGGGCTTGAAGAATGTAAAGAATATTACTTATAAGAGATTCTGATGCATACCGTTCTTGCAATATGTAAATATTTATTTATATATGCATAGATTACGTCTTAGTTTATTATTTATGCATACTTATGTATATGTATTCTTACGTGGAGAGCTCAAACTTCTAACTTACGTGGAGAGTTTAAACATAAAACGGAAGCTCGGCTGAGTATCTCTCAGTTTTTTAGAATAGTCCTAATTCTAACCGGATAGTATCGGAGCCTTAAGTTTAGTCATAATTCTAGCCGGACAGTATCGGAGCCTTACGTTAAAGGTCTCTGGCACTTTATGAAAGGAAACCGCAATTTTACCATCAAATGTTTTTGATCTATATAATATCTTTTCAATAATAGGTAAGCTCTAAAAATCGATTCTAACTTCTGAATGTATACCTTTCTCTCGGCGGGAAAAAACACCTTTTATGGAGGTTCAGATGTTGAGATTTTTAAGGAAAGAAAAGCCTTCACCTACATGTCAAAAGACTTTTTCTTCAAGAAAGTCAATGAATTTATGCGAGCTTTTAGAAAGTACTAGAAGTGATTATCTTGGTCCTGTAGTCCAACGCTAGTGGTCCTGAAGTCCAACGCTAGTGGCTGGCTTCCGACACTCGTATTCTCGGAAAGGGATTTATCCCCTTTCATATTCTGCTTCACAGCTAGGCTCAGGTCAAAAAATGTTGGACTCATCTCTCTCTGTTTTCATACCGACCCATTTTCGTTAAAATTTCCTTCCATACTCTCTTATTATGTTTAGCATTAGTTCTATTCACTAATGACAAAGAGGTTGTACTTCGATATTTTCTTGGCCATTGTGGAATTTAGCGTAAGGAGGCCGCTAATTTCTTGGCTAAGAAGGGACCATTTGTCCTTCAAACATCGCAATCTGGTCTCCCTAACAACTCTGTTAAGTCATTTGTTAGGAAAGCCCTCGGGGCCTCCTTTTTTTCATGAACTCGCAAATATAAATAGATCGTTTAGATAGATGCTTGAAGTAACCGAATAGCCTAGAAAGAAATTTGTTGTATTATTCAGTTGTCATATTATTACTATTATTATTATTTGTTGTATTATTACGCCTCCAAGGTATCAATGTTGTTCCTGACTCTGTTAGCCCATTATGCAATCTTAAAGAAGATTTAAATCTCCAAAAATCCATCAGCAAATCCACATCTCCACAAATGCCCTGCTCTTTCTCGTATTTCGATTTGGAAGCGCTACTCCTTGGCGAGGAATGCCCTGATGTCAATTCTCTCGTCTTTGCTATGTATTTTACTTGATGTTCAGTTGTCTTGCAACGTGCCATTAAAAATAAAAAAATTCTATTCATTAATGAAGCTTTAATCGATTTAACTTCTTTTTACGATGTGCTTAAAAAACAGTCTTTATTTCTATTAATCCTTGAACTAGTACATTATATTATATATTTAGGGCTTAAATTCAGATAAAGCCCTGTTGAGCTATTTCTTAATTTTTAAATGAAACTCTAATTCCAGTCAGTGCCCCAAATACGATAAAGTCCGTTAATTTTTTAACAGTCTGTCATTAATTTAATCATTCATTAAATTTTTAACTATTTCTTTTCATTTTATTCAAGTTTAATTCAAATATTAGTCTTTTTAATAATTAATTTTTGTCTTTTCTCCTGATACCTCTTCCCTTAAAGCTGGAGTTTCAGAAAATGAATTTAAAAAATCTAATAGCTAGGCTTAACATTATTCACGTAATTTAAAAAATGTTCTCAATTTGTGAAAAAATTAAAAATTTCTCAAAAGCACGGAATATATCCATTTAATTTTCTTCCAAAATTATGCTTTTTATAAATGTTAATGTTTCTGATCTAATTGCAATCCTGATGTAAACCACAGTCATTTTAACTTTAAATTAAAGTTACAGGAGACTGCGAGATGTGTTTTGTGATTATTTTGGTCTAATCGAAAGTTTACGGTAATGTGCATGTTCTAATTTACGAAATTTTTCACCTTGATATGTCGCTTAATCGAGCTATTTAGAGAGAAAAGTTTCAATTTAAAACATTTAACTCTAATTGGAAAGTTATTCAATTTATAATTAATCAAAGATTAAAATCTTACCAGAAGGATTTTTGAAATATTTATTCCAATTGAAGGTAGAATCCTCGGATACAGGTACGGCCTTTTAGCGATTTTGAAATTTGCCGCCAACACCAAAAATGTCGCCAAAGCTCTCCAAATCCTGTGTGTACCGTATCCTAGGATTCGCAGAACTTAGACTTAATTGACAATCCTTCTTTTAAACGTCACAGCCACTTAAATTTGCTTTCTCAGTGTCACTGATGAAGTCGCATTTGAGGTCTTACCTATGTATCATTGTTGCAAAGTTCATATTTTACAGCAATATACAATCGTTTTCCTTGTAGGATAACATCCGCCGAAGAATTGTTGAAAACATATATGCGCCCACATTGCCTGTTGGCCACCATTAAGTTAAATGCATTGCTTTTACTTCTTACAGCAGTATTCTTGTTTGTAAATTAAGTCTTGTCAATAAAATTGTCTTTAAATAACACCATTCTATTTCTTCTTGTTTTCTAAAGTAACTAACCTACGAGATATACAGTTAGTCAATAAAGTCTGCGTACATCAAGAAAAGTAACATCAAATCCAAATTTTAAGGTGCGAAAACGATAGTTGCTTAAAGTTTTATTTTTTAAATATTTAGTTTCAATAAGGGACTTTGAAATTATTTAACTGTAATATTTTCATATCTAATAATTTATGCACCCTAATTTTATAAGATAAGTGGCCAGAAATCAAAGCCAATAAAATTTGCGTACAACGCGAAGGAGGCGGGGAATTTTTTATCTAACTTTTAAACTTCAAACTTGAGAATGCAAAGAAGGTTACACTTTCAAGGTCATTGACTTCCGAAGCGAATTTCATGTTGATTGGAAGTTGATTTCTATTTTCTTTGACGAAAATGACAACCAATAAAGAAATTCCTTTAGTTACGAGACAACTAATTATCAAATTGGGAGATGAAGGAAAACTCTTTGTTATATTGGTAAAACTATTGGAAAACCATTTTCTAGTGTGCAAAGAGTTATTCAAAACTATCTTGACACTGGTAGTCTTGCTGTAAAACCAAGATGTGGGAAACCGAAGAAGCTAACGCAGATAGAAGAAAGAAAAACTCTTTTAAGAATTAAACAAAATCCTAATTTTTCTGCTGCAAGCATTGCAAAAGACATTTTTTAACTAGCAACAAGGAAATTTCTCCTGAAACTGTACGAAAAGTGCTGCGAAAGGCTGATTATCATGGACGCAAACCTAGGTCTAAAGCCATACATTTCCGAGACAAATAGAAAGAAAAGAATTGCTTTTGCCAAAACACATTTAAACTCTTCGCAGGACTTTTGGAACAATGTAATTTTGGTCAGATGAAAGTAAATTTACAATATTTAAAGTTCATGGCCACCCTATTGTATGGAGAAAACCAAGAACAGAACTGAATCTGAGAAATTTAAATCCAACTGTTAAACATGGAGCTGGCGGTGTGACAGCATGGGGTGTATGTCGTCG